TATCGGTTTGATTATATCATGTTTTAAATTAAATGCTAAATTAATTTAATTTTTAGATCCTTGTCGTAATTGAACCTCTGTTGATTGACGAAGATTATTACGCACGTGTCGAAGGTCGAGAAATTATCTCCAACTTAGCTAAGGCCGCAGGATTAGCTACTATGATATCTACAATGAGACCTGATATAGACAACATAGATGAATATGTACGAAACACAACTGCTAGGGCCTTTGCTGTTGTAGCCTCTGCTTTGGGTGAGTACTATGTATTTTAAAATATATAGGTAGATAATTCAACTATTCTTGCAATAGGCATATTTATGCATTATAATAAATTGATTTCAGGTATTCCATCACTCCTGCCGTTTTTAAAGGCTGTCTGTAGATCAAAGAAATCTTGGCAAGCCAGACATACTGGAATAAAGATTGTGCAGCAAATTGCTATTCTTATGGGTTGCGCTATCCTGCCCCATCTTAAATCTTTGGTGGAAATTATTGAACATGGTATGTTTCCTTTAATCACAAATTACAAAGTTTTGTTACTTGCTTGTTTAGAATTTTGTTTATATGTATCTTTGTTTTTTTTTTAATTACAGGGTTAGTTGATGAGCAACAAAAAGTGCGTACTATCACAGCTTTAGCGAGCGCCGCTCTCGCTGAGGCAGCTACACCATACGGTATTGAATCATTCGACTCCGTGCTTAAACCTCTTTGGAAGGGTATTCGAACTCATCGTGGTAAAGGTCTGGCGGCTTTCTTGAAGGCCATCGGTTATCTCATTCCTCTCATGGACGCCGAATACGCTAATTACTATACGCGTGAAGTGATGTTGATCCTTATTCGTGAGTTCCAGTCACCAGATGAGGAAATGAAAAAGATTGTGTTAAAGGTATGTGATAAAAGTTCAAATAGCTTTACAGATTGAGATTTATTGAGATGACCCCGTGACCCCAATAAACGGTACTTATGAATGTTTTATTTTATAGGTAGTGAAACAATGCTGTGGCACTGACGGTGTGGAACCTCAGTATATAATGGATGAAATTCTACCACATTTCTTTAAACATTTCTGGAATCATCGTATGGCTCTCGATAGACGTAACTACCGCCAACTTGTCGACACTACAGTTGAAATTGCCAACAAAGTAAGTTTAAGTTCCGGTAATAGGGGCAAAATTTGGTAATTTATTTATTCTCCATTTATTTGTTCTAATTCTCTTACTTTATACTACAGGTTGGCGCATCTGAAATAATAAACAGAATAGTTGATGACCTGAAGGACGATAATGAGCAATACAGAAAAATGGTAATGGAATCTATTGAAAAAATTCTTGCCAATTTAGGCGCAGCTGACATTGATTCCAAATTGGAGGAGGCTCTTATTGATGGTATATTGTACGCATTCCAAGAACAGACTACTGAGGTAAGAATTGTTTAAGAGTCTTATGACAACTTTTAAAAGCTGTTTGTTACAATTTCTAAATTATCTCAACATTATTAATTAATTTTACAGGATGTTGTTATGTTGAATGGTTTTGGCACAATAGTAAACCAACTAGGCAAGCGCGTGAAACCGTATCTGCCACAGATCTGCGGTATTATTTTGTGGCGTATGAACAATAAATCCGCAAAAGTTCGTCAACAAGCTGCTGACCTCATTTCGCGGATTGCAGTCGTCATGAAAACTTGCCAGGAGGTAAGTTTAAATCGTTTATTTAGAAATAATAGCCCACCTAGGTAGTAGGAGTTTCCAACTATATTGGTATCAGTCATTTGTTTAGTTAAAACAGAACCCATACTTTTCTAAAATGTTCTGTCATAGGAACCTTCTCCTGGTAAATATCCACAAAAAAATTGCCGAAATTGGTTCGGGCTTCGTTATATAATAGACAAATATACATTTTGTGACTTATATAATGTTTTTAATGATATGTTTATATTTTGAACAGGAAAAATTGATGGGACATCTGGGAGTCGTACTTTATGAATACTTGGGCGAGGAATATCCAGAAGTACTGGGTTCGATATTGGGTGCTTTGAAAGCTATCGTTAATGTGATAGGTATGACAAAAATGACACCACCTATCAAAGATCTCCTGCCTAGACTAACACCTATTCTCAAAAACAGGTGAGTCTCATTTAATTTATAAAAAAATATATTAAATGTGTGTTTACTATATTTAAATATCAATTGTATAAATTGTTATTGTATAAATTGTGATTGTATTTATTTTTAGGCACGAAAAGGTACAAGAAAATTGTATTGATTTGGTTGGACGTATAGCTGACAGAGGACCAGAATTCGTCTCTGCAAGGGAATGGATGAGGATATGCTTTGAACTACTAGAGTTGCTTAAGGCTCACAAAAAAGCAATCAGAAGAGCAACTGTAAATACTTTTGGTTATATTGCTAAAGCAATTGGTCCTCATGATGTATTGGCAACCCTACTCAACAACTTGAAAGTACAGGAGAGACAAAACAGGTACTGTTTCGTGATTCACTCATGCAATAAGTAGGATTGGTTAATATTATTTACATTACTAACATATATATTATTTTTGTTTTAGAGTTTGTACGACAGTGGCTATTGCTATAGTTGCGGAGACTTGCTCTCCCTTCACGGTATTGCCTGCGCTGATGAATGAATACCGTGTACCAGAATTGAATGTACAAAACGGAGTGTTGAAATCACTCTCTTTCTTGTTTGAGTACATTGGAGAAATGGGAAAGGACTACATTTACGCAGTTTGTCCCTTATTAGAAGATGCCCTGATGGACAGGTATGTCGTTTATTAAGCCTAGTTTTTCTGTATATTTCCATTTTTTTTCTAGTTTAATTATGTTGTGCCTGATCTTATTATTTAAAAAAAACTTATATCTTTGACAGGGATCTGGTGCATCGGCAGACCGCGTGTGCTGCAATAAAGCACATGGCTTTGGGAGTATATGGATTCGGGTGTGAAGATGCATTAGTACATCTCCTCAACCACGTCTGGCCTAACATCTTTGAGACTTCGCCACATTTAGTACAAGCATTCATGGATGCTGTGGAAGGCATGCGGGTTGCTCTAGGTCCTGTCAAAATCTTACAGTATGCTCTACAGGTATGTAACTCTTTGTAAAATTGCTATACATGAGTGAGGTATTCCAAAGGTTGAGTTGTCTCAAGTTCGGCTCGAGCAAGGGGTTTTGGGTGCTATTGCTGGTTTGGGCGTTGTATTATCAGGGTTTTTCGGTATTTCGAAAATCTCAGTGATAGCATGTAGTTTGGAATTGTGCCCCATATACAGCTAAAGGCATTACCCCTATTACATGGGTCCCCCTAATCACAACATAATTTGTGGAAAGTTGTCCTACATGTCTGCCTACCCCCTTGAGGATGAATAGCGTTGCGACATTTTTTAATTATTTTATTCCTATTATCATACATTTAAAATCCACATAAATTATCACACATTGTTTTTGTTTCAGGGACTGTTCCACCCTGCAAGGAAAGTTCGTGACGTGTACTGGAAAATTTACAATACTTTATATATCGGAGGACAAGACGCATTGGTCGCTGGATACCCAAGAATACAAAATGATCCAAATAATCACTATTTGAGATATGAACTAGATTATTTGCTCTAAATAATATAAATGTCGTGTTACAGAATTCTTTAATAGTAATATAAACAATTGTCTTTCATAGCAGAAACAAGAGCCAATAAATATGTATAATGCAACATCATAAATGGTATATTTATGCAATTTGTGTTAATTAGAAAAGCAGCCGTAAAATTAAGTTGATTTTAACAAATAGCTATGAATATGGCTTTTGATCTAATATGTAACTTCTTACATTGAAATAAACCAGTTTTGAGTTATTAAAAAGGCATTATTATATTAGGATAGCTGTTTTATTCAATTTGAAGTATGTACCTTTGTTAAGCGCGAGCTTCATTTGGTATATTCGATTTAGTTAACATAAGTTTTATAAACACCAATGACTAGAAAACAATATCTTATTACTTATTCTATTACTTAAGAGTAAACATTCAAATAAGGTAAAGGAATTCAGTAAGTTGGAATGTAACTAATATCTAAAACATAAAAATATAGCCTCAGTCTAAAATTATAGAGTAAAATCACAAATAATATTTGGAAATCTAGAAAATCACAAATAGAAAAATGCACCAAAATATTGAGACGACCTTATAAAAAAGCGATCGGACCTGTAATTCGGTATCTAAATAGTTTTACAATTCATGGAATATAAATTCATATCAAATTTAACTGGATAAGGAAGCGGTTATTTATTTTTAAGTAATTTAGAGTTAAATGTTAAGTTTGCGAAATATTCAGCTTTTATATGTTTTGTTAGGATGATACGAAAGTCAAAGACAACCGTTATAAACAGGTATACAGGTTTATGCTCCTAATCTTACGAATTGCTACTAATACTTGGAAGTACTTATAGAGAAGCAATAACATGTCTCAAGATTACAATAAATGTGTATAATAATTAAAATTTAAACTAAAAGTTTAGCTAATCAGTACCGTAAAACGGGGTGAATAGAATTCGAGGGGTAAATTACACGGATGAGGGGTGAATAGATACTAGGAAAATTCGCCAACATCTATTCACCCCTTTCGTGTATCTATTCACCCCTCAAATTCTATTCACCCCGTTTTACCGTAATACTTACTAGAAACAAATATCTCCAGGTCGGTTTCGAGGCTGTTCTAAAGGAGAATAATATTTAAGGCCTACTTTACAATGTCTGTATTATAGTCTCTATGTACCAGATAAATTTGAATATAGAACGGCCTCATAAATTGATCCGGTATTTATTAGGAAGGTGGTGAAACAGGCCCTTGGTCTATAACCAAGTGTACGCAACGAATGAACTTGAAAAGGTAATATATTAATTATATCTATAGATGTAGATATTCATTTTCGCAGAGTATTCCGATGACTACCCTTCGACCATTGAATTGCGTTCTTGCCGGATATTTTTTAAGATATTTTCTAGTAAACGAATATGCACATCACACGGGATTAGATACTATGCTGGCTAGCTTACTGCACTGATTTACGAATGAGACTTGTGCGTGCATATCATTCAGATGGCGAATCGTGATATGACAGTACTCGTCTCAATAAAGGGCATTTGCTGCAAACGATTAAGAGTAGATGATAGTGAGATCGGCCGTTTGAGGACACGCCTACAAGGCGTTGCCCTCAGTCTCCGGAAGTCTTATCGCCAATGCGTCGAGTTGATTAAAATATAAACAGTCAATACCTATTTAAATTTCTTTCATATAATTAATACAATATGTATTTAAACTTTTACCAGGAATCTAATACCTGCAAATCAGAAAGCGAATAAGTACATTTAGTCTTAAGATGCTTTGCACAGGTATTATTCATACTGCTACTACTGAGTAGCAGTGAACTTGCATTTTTTGTAGGTCTAAAGAAAGCATCTCTATAATAATATCAAATACTTATCTATGATAGCTATTACTCAAGCCCATAAAGAGGAACTAATAATAATTAATAACCGCATTCCGTAGAAATAGCCTCCAAGAAAATTATAGATGGTCTTAAATATACGAGATTATTTGAGATGAGAGACGATAATTTTCATTTTAAACAACCTCCCCTAGCCGACACATGAACGAGGCTGGCTGACAATATATGTTGCCAAGCTGAACCGGTGACGTTATCTGCAGATATACCGAGTCTTCTCTGAAGTACTCCCTCTGAAGTTATTGCCCATACCTCATTATCTTCAGCCGAAACATGTTTGTAAGTCATATCACAATCTGGAAACAAAACGTACGTAAGTTGCAGGTACCCGCGTAATTATAATATGGTGAATAATGTAAATAATATTGCAACACAGGGCAGGCCCGAAGCAACCCGAGCGTACGGCGCGTAGCGTTCTGCGCGCGCCTCATAGAGCCAATAGACCACCACAGACGGGGCCCCATAGGGCTGATGTTCAGCCGGGGTTGCGGGGTAAGCGCAATGAGGCACCGCAACCTCGTCCTAGAGCAGGAGAAGGAGCAGGGGGGTTTTTAGTCAGCAAGAGTCTGACACTCCCTCCCGCCCGGCCCTGGGCGGGAGAAGTCATTTGATGATTTTCCCCTCACAAAAAAAGTCCCGAAGCAAGTGGAACGCGGTGGTATTTAGTTAGCAAGAGCCTGACAGTGCCAACAAGGGAGTTAACATGATAATTGCCGTATTGGGAATTTCCAGTGTATATTATCAATTAATTAGGTTTTTAAACATTGAGGTATTTACCTGTTAAATATTTCCACTCTTTGCCATCCTGTTGGTTTCTAGAAAGGTCGGTCCTCACGGCTATAGTTCCATTTAAAAGCAACACCCACGCTGAAGTTTTGGTTAATGAAACTGCTTTAGCACCTGCACCAGACTTGTGGTTATAGGAATGACTACATTTTGGGGCCTCAATCAATTTCCAGTTGGTTCCAGATGGATGCTCTTTAGATATGTCTTCTCTATAATAAAGTTCTCCTTTTCGGCCAACAACCCAAACTATATTATTGCATGTGCTTATGGCTATAAGCGATTGTGGGTTATTAACATGTTCCCAATGAGTACCCTAGAATGTTAGAAGAAAAATCAATAACTGGTTCACATTAAAAAAGACCTGGAAGTTTCAATAAGAAACAAGTGTTTTTATAATCTTGTAGTTACCGTAGGTGAAGAAACTGTAACTCCAGTCCGATATATGGCATCGCCAGCTAAAGTTATTGCCCAAACCGCTATGTCGTCATCACTATTGGCCTGCCGAGAATTTTTTTATATGACATAAGTATGTATTTGATAATCTCAATATCCACCTTATTTTTTACAGTCAGTGACACTCACCCATAGGGAAATATCTAAAAGCGCAGTACTACCAGCTCGTATCCATGGGCCTTCGGTAATAATTTGCGCTTTTCTATACCATCTTCGTCGTCGGACGCAATCAGTAAATATTTTTTTTCCGTGATATGGAGCCGGGAAATCGGTTGCGTACTGCCATCCATCAGAGTCAACCCCACCGGGAGTGTTATAGTCAATCATCCATTCCGATACCTAAAGGCAGTAGAACTACATGTAATTTAATGTTACGACACAACAAATATTTTTCCTATTAGAAAAACTGATAAGTAGTATGTTTACCCAATGCCAATGACGATTCAGAAGTTTCGTGTGTTCTCGAGTTCTTTTATGTTTTCCAGTTACGTCACTCCACATGTAACGGTCGGTAGGTAAGCCTGTGGACGTATACCCAGACAGAGGATTCCACCTCTGATTTTCATAAACACAGTAAGTTTGTGTATCAGTCATTGAATGAATTCCTTCTTTGCTACCTATACCTAAAATAATTAAGATATTTTTTATATCATATAGAAAAAAATATTTAATACTCCGTAAAAGAAGCTTTTTTTACCTTTAAGTATTCCTCCACCCCATCCTCCTGTATAAACCCAAACTCGGTGGTCATGAGATATGCCCCAAACTATTCCTTTTTGACAAGACTCAACACGTCGCAAGTATCCTCCAATGATTCTCCAATACATTTCTTCAGATCCTATTATAGCATTTGTAGTGGAATACTCCAAAGAAAAAAGTTTTAAGGGACCCTTTATAGAAACTGCTGTAATGGTCTTAGGGTTAAGCCTGTGCTCATAGTAACAATACAGTTTATCATTTACGAGGACCTTAAATACATTTACATCGCAAATTATTGTTACACAGAATTCCTGACCTGGGGACAACGGTAATTCATGTCTCTCTTCCACTCCCCAACTACCAAAGATTTTTGTATTACAAACCACAGTTCTTTCGTCGAACCTTACATTGAAGTGGAAAGGTATTTCAGTGACTTCAGTTTCAATTTTATGTCTCTGTTTCTTTACTTCTGGTCCTTCTAAATTAATATGAAATCTGTTTATTTCATCATGTAAACAACCCGAAACTTTAATTGTGCTTCCTGGTGGGAAATTGTTGTGCAAAGCTGTTGTGTAACCAGACACTATATCTTTTCCAAAAACTTGGAATTCCTTGACATACTGTCCATTATTTGAAATATTTAATTTTGCAGGCATTGGATCCCAATTTAGTACATCACCAGAACTAGCAATTGCCCATACTGAGTTATGAGATGGTTTGCCAGTAACTCCATTAATTTGAGAAGTAATATCGACTAACACATTGAACCATTCTTCTTGTTCCATTTCTGATATAAATTGCACTTTGATGGGGCTCTTATTTTGGCGTGGAATAGATAGTGTAATTCTGGGACTTCCAGGTTCTGATGATGTTATTATACTGGTAACCTCACCCAGATTTAGGATGAATTTTATAGTACCATCTGGTTGGAAAACAGACAGTGTTCCTATGTTTTCTAAATCATGCCAATATAAAGACAATATGCAATCTTCACTAGAATTATTAGCATTTATCAATCTTGACTCACAGCTCCTTGTCCAACCTTTTTCTTCTACTGCTACACCATAATTAGAAAGATCTACTGTTACATTATTATTCCTGGTTTTGAGATAATCCAAAATTTGCATTCGCCATTTAGAAGTGAGATCCAAATTAAATGCACTGTGTGAGTCTGTAAACCAATGTGGAACCTGCATTACATCTACAGAACAAGCTCCAGCTTCCACAAATGCCCAGGTAGTTTCGCAAGTCCCCCAGGCAGTTTGGCTGATTTCATCATCAAAAAACATTCCTGAATCAACATCAAACACACTGCTGTCACTGTCTGGTTGAGCCTCCATACCTACTACAGAGCCTACACTTCTCACAGGACTCCATGCTCTTGGATTTTTTAGAGTGGTTTCATAGCTTTTGCCTGTGTAATCAATATTGTCTACCTGCTCATTTCGTTTTTGGCGGGCTTCTTTTGGTTTGATAGGTAATGTGTGTTCAATAGGTGCAGAATGTGATTCTTCCCAAGAATTATGAAGATTAATATTAGACTTAAGCTCAGTTGTAGATTCATTGAGCATGTTTAGACTATGATGCTTGACATTTGAAGCCGAAGACACCACACTTGCTGAGCTGGATGTTCTACTTAATTGCATATTAGCCTGAACCATTCGCCACCTTTTACCAGTTTGTTCTGCAGGTGTTATACCACTGCGCCAGTATATACTTTTGTCAGAGTCACCAATAGCAAATACTTGATCATTTATGCCAACAGAAATATAGCTCATATGTCCTGATATTTCTAGCCAACCACTTCCCATTGCAGCTACTTCAGAGGTACCTGCTGAATTTCCATCTATACCTTTTCTAAACCAGACTCTTGCATCTGAACTCACAGCCCAAATGGCATTAAATCCAACAGAGAGTGACACTAATTTTGTATCATTAGGAGATTTAACTTCCATCCATGCTTCCCCTGTGGGACAGTCTTTGGTTATGCCTTTCCTAATAATAGCTCTTCCTGTCCACAAAAGAGCCCACACCAATCCAGTGGGCCCAACAGATATTTGTTTAATATCACAATTAGGAGGAATACTTATGTTAATCCATTTCAATCCTTCAGGAGATGTAGTACTGACACCAGCTCTGTACATAACGCGGCCATGAGCAGTTATGGCCCACACTGATAATGTTCCAGGAGATGCATATGGGATTTGATTGCCACCAATGCTTACATCAATAAAAGGCTCTTGTGTTGGGTCTTTGTGCAATGGAGCAATAGCACACCATGAATTCATAGCACTGAATTTTCTGTATCTTATCCACTTCCTTCTCCTTACACAAGACTTCCACTGTTTTGAGGGACCAAATTGAGCTGGGAAGTCCACTGCATATGTCCATCCATCATGATCTAAGGGTTGACCATCAAGTGTCAATTCAAGTTGCCAATCACCTTCCCATTGCCAGGCCATAGATGGTAATCTAATGCGATCAATTGATCTGTCTTTTGTACCATCTTGTGAAGAAAAATGATATCTGTCGGTGGGTAATAATCTCCCGCTGAAACCTTCTAGTGGTAACCACCTTTCATTCTCGTAAGATTCTTCTTTGACTCTTATTGGTATTTCTAGACCATGAACGTGGAGGTAGATTTGTCGATCTCCTCCAACAGCCCAAAGATAATGTGGTACCGCAGATAATGTTTTGAATTCTAAGCCAAGATACATGAATTCTCTCCAACATGATCCACTTGTTGACAAGGCGTAAACTTTGCCTTCATTATTGATTGAAAACAGCAAAGAATTACTAGACATTTTTAATTCTTACTTCATACGAGCCTAGCAAAATTATTGCAAGCCTTTGTTTATTTATGTATCATTATTTGGTCAAATCTTTGAATTCGTCAATCATATAAAGGCGTTCAACATTACTTATGACTTAAAATCATCTCGCTGCGACATTGTAGGAAATCACTCAGACTCACCTATTTCTAAACACTGAATAGTTTAAATTTAGTAAGCACCTACATAAGATTACACCGAATCATTAAACTGGTGAATCTAATTTATCTTCTCTTTCATTCCATTCAACTCTCGAAGTCGAGCAAGCAAGCAAGCAGCTGACAAATCATGACAGTGACAGTGTACCCTGAGGTGACAGTAACAGGCTAACAGCTACTTATAGAGTTGCGAACAAAGAGCTAAAGTAACATAACGTGGCGAATATTCAAACTGAGTGTATATACTCACATTACTTATTCCGCCACAAATATAGATACCTGCTGAGATCGCGGGTCAAGCGAAATAAGGTACCGCGTCCTCGACCTGGAGCAGTAGAGCAGGAGAAAGAACAGGCGGGTTTTTAGTCAGTAAGAGTCTGGTACTCTCTGAGTTAAAAGAAAAGATAATGATTTTGACTGCTCAAAAAAAATTCCCATAACAATGTAACTTTTCCGTTTCCGCTTTTACAGCGAAATTACCGCGAATGGAAAATATGAAAGTTAAAATTATGCAGAAGTATGAAACTTTAATATAACTACGTAGCTGGTAACGGTATTAGAACTCAATCCTCCCAGTTATTTTATATGTCCAATGTATTAGGGGTTCAGCATATTGGCACAATACCAGGCGCCTAGCGAAAAAACGAAAAAAAAAAACAAATATACTTTGCTCAACTCAGGAAACGAATCAAGTCGTGCAATCACTCAACCAACTAAGGCAGGCAATGTATTTTAATGTTTGTTAAAACCTAATAAAATTGAGGACAAATATAAACGAATGTTTTATCCACAATCATCTGCCAAACATTGGAATGATTTAGAAATTTGGCAGCACTTTTAATTTAAAATGCTATTGTTTGATCATGACAGGTATGTATTATATTAAGTAGACTTGCAAATGTTACTTATTCAGTACTCGTGTACATGTGTCACACTACTATTTTCCGACCATAACCTTTACTAGATATTGAAATACAATCCTAACTAAGATTTCAATAAAACAACATTAAATTTATTGTCAACACATTCATGTTTTTATTTACTTAATCTATATAATATTCATGTTGGAACCTTGTAGTTGAAATGTATTTTAATCACCCTGTTTCTTGTCTCTTACATGGTTTCATTAAATGAAAATATGCAGAAGCGAAAATACTACACTTAAAATAAATGTAAAAGTAATCATTAGAATAGTTGGGTTTGGTTATTTTTGATTGAGATTTCTTTGTTTCCAATTCGTCAATTACCTACCTACTATTTAACTATAAAATCAAATAAAATAATCAATAAACCCAATTATTCCAACAACCAGTACAATATGTATTAATTTCTTAATATCCTACTTTTTTGTAAATACTGTTTGTATAAATATAAACACAGAAATAAATAATATCAAGATCTTTAGAAGCATAACTATAAATTATTTAAATATCACACATACTTGAGATGGAATTATTAACAATTGATCTAAAATAAATAATAACACAATCTAACATGTTGCATAAAATAAAATTGAATTCATCTAAAAATTTGCTAATTTATAATTGTCCTCTCATAAAGTTACTTTTAGTAATTTTATGGGGCTTACACTTGCTGTTGCAGCAACTTTCTCTTTTTCTAAATGTTTCATATATGCAAGGAAGCATGTCCATACAAGACTACACATGCTAATAAAAGGCACTCTGTTTCTTGGAGGAATGAGGCAGAAATTTATCATAGCAATAGCTGGCCACACAGAGGCACCTACCTGCAAACACAAACAAAGAAATTAACAGTAATTCTTTACAATTTAACTAACTACTCTCACACACACTCTTGACCTGCTGCTTGATACAGACAGATTATAGCATGATGTTTTATAGCCTATATTGTTCCTAGACAGTACAACCACAAAAGGAGTTGTTAAATTTGATCCAGTAGTTTCTGAGATAAGCACATTCAAACAAACAAATTAACTCAAACTTAACAGCTGCATAATATTATATTTGATTAAAGTATTTTCTGATGTTTGAAGTGGTTATTTATGTTGAAGCAAATAAAATTTTTCTTTTTTTATTAATTAAATTCATTCATTTCATTTGTTGAATTTAATTAATTAACCAATCAATTTAAGGTGCTATCTGGGTACATACATATAGTCATAAAGGTCTGTCTTGGATAAATCAGATATAACTTAATAGGGTATTTAAAACACAGTAATATAAAAGCATACCTTATATGTAGGCAGAAACTTGGCCTCAACTTCAGCAATAGCTTCATGGAAGGGCTTTGATTCAAGTAAGCTCATACCAAAATAAAAGCTGCACATTGCAAATGGTGTGTATGTTATTGTTTCCACAAAGGTCTGAAAAATTTAATATTGTACTAAAATACTTGAATGTTATTTACAAAAACATATAATATTGATAATGGATACCATTGAAAAACTATATTCTTTTAGTTTGGTTACTACATAGAAATAATCATTGTGTAACAAAATACACCATAATTATGTACACTAAAACTGCATTATTATGTTTAATAGTTATGTGCACTACACTGTTTAATTTACCTTTATGATACCTGCTCGTATTGAACTCCCTGGCCACATTATGTTAGCAATTGTTAGCCAACTATACAATGTAGGGGCGACATAACAAGACCCATAGAGACCATATCTAGCACATCTCCACCAATCATAGTTATCTGAAAGGTAACAGGACAAGGTAATATGTAAATTACAAATTGCTGATTTTTACAGGAAAATGAATAGCCTTGTTTACAAAATTATTTTTTAAATTAGTACACAAAGATACTACCCTAGGATTAAAGCTTATATGAATGTACTCACCAATTGTTTTGCCTTCAACAGTTTGCTGTATTAAACTAGAACCTGGCCAGATAATACTATAGGACGCCATTCCCCTTAAAAGGGGATATTTCTTAAAGGCATTGATAAATTTACTGTAAGCACCCATTTTTAATTAGATTGTAAAATAATAAATTACTCTTATATAAGTTCATAATTCCATAACCCAAACAAGAGGAATAAGGAAATGTCGCTTTACTGCGAAATTTCCTGGTAGAATGCCAATATAGCCACCTATAAATAAAACTGATGAAAGTACAAAACGCTTCCACTCAAAACTAAACTACACTACAACTAGCTAATTCTAAAATCACACCAAGGCCAAAGTTTTAATTTGACTTTGACTAAGTTTGTTGATCATAGTCCATGTCGAGCAACTTCTACATAATGACATTTGACATTTGGGACAATTTAGGCATTGACATTAATTTGACAGAATGACATCCAAGTCAAAGACAAAAGTGCAATAGTGTGCCAAAAACCTATAAAAAATTATCAACTGCTAAAAGTAGGTACATTTTTAATTAGATACCTACCCACGTATCCTGAAGCCCATCATTACACGCAGTACATCATTATTGTTCTACCCTTTCGTTTTCGATTTGATTGCAAGACCATAGATGAAAACACAATATCTACGCACAATATAAACCTTTGTCATTACCGTTACTGACAAATTCAGACCATAGATTTAGTATTATAGGTCTGTGATTCAGACATATTCATATCTGACATAAAATAAAATGACAAATAATTTGTTGACATCGTTGACATGAACATGACATGAAGGGGAAAAACACATAAAACACTTGTGTTGTTTTGAGTGTTGTTGTTTGAGGGATTTATTTAATCATCATACATTTGAATAGTTGTCTCAGTTGCTTGAAACCGCAACTATGCCTGTTTATTACGAATGGTTAATATTGTTATTTATTCAACGAATGAAAACTAATTACTATTTCTACTCATGTAAACACCTCGAAAGTTCAAAACAAATACACCCTTTTAATAGTATTCACAAACAATTTTAACTTTATTTACAAATCTAGAATTTTAATTAATTTATCGGCAACCAAAAAAAAAACAAATGTCGTCACAACTTTGAGTTCTTTATAAAAACATGAATGTACCTAATTATTTCAGGACATCATTGAAGAAATCAAAACGATTCAAACAGGATTCTCCTAGTTTTGCAGTAACCAGTTACCCTCTGAAAACAAATGTGATTACAATTGTAAGTTTGAACTTTCATACTTCTAAATTGTTGATATTATTATGTTCAAAGCATTATCTTCATTAAATTCAGCATTTATCACATCATTCAGAATTTGAGTTTTCGTGCAATTGCTTTATTTTACACCTCCAATTTCTTTACTATGTAATTATCCAAATTATTACTTTTCTGTTATAGAAAGAGCCTTCCAGCTCCTCCCTTATTGACCACCTAAATAAATGGAGCTCTGGTTTTGAAGAAGTAGACCCATTGCTGAGATTTGAACAAATGATTGCAGAGGAAGTAGGTAGACATATATTAAAAGATCTTCTGGTTGTCTTATTCAGTTTTAATAATTTAAGTCTTGATTTTTAGGACCTAAATCCTTTGGAGACAGAAGTTATTGAAGGGGTTAATTACACTAAGGCTTGGAATTCAAGGCGAGCTGGTATTTTGAATAAATACACAACCGGCGAAAAGCTTACTATTGTCAGTAGCTATTTGCCAGGTGGAGAAAAAGGTATGTTTTATTACATGTAAAATGTGTATATTATATATTATGTAACATAAATTATACTAATATCTTATTTTTCTTTCCTTTTTTTTTTGTTATATTTTAAGTTAGTTCCTTTTCAGCTCTTATTAGACAGGTATCCAATTTGAATGAAAAGGTGAAACACCGATTGGAACAATTAGATGACTTTGATGAAGGATCGGTTAGGAAGACAATGGGATTAAGTCAACAAGAGTTTGTCACAAAAATTAACTTACTTAATGATGAAATTAAAAAGGTAGGTAAACAAAATAATATTAATTACTGATAAAACTGTCACTTACAAATAACATACTAAGTATTATAAATAATATAAACTTTATGTTTCAGGCTTGGGAGACCGAGCAAAGGGTGAAGGCATTTAAAATAGGTATACAGTGTTCAAAACTGTTGTCTGATATCAATGTAATGCAATTTTACCCCAGCAAGTTTATTTTAATTACTGATACCCTAGATACATTTGGTAATCTGGTGTTCAATCGTCTTAAAGAAAAAAGTTTTGGGTGAGAATCCTTTGTTACATAAATGGCATGAAAGCTCAGGTACAAAGTGGACTGGAGCTTTAAGCTACCAGTTATTTGACCGGGTTGTGTATGTAATTTATGTACTTTATTCAATTACTTTATTTCACAGGAACAATAATTTAATGACTATACACAATATTGACCCAAGAACAGTGCCTGAATCAGCAAAGGAGACATGTCAGAACTGGATGTACAAAATGGCGTCGATCAGAGAATTGCTGCCTCGGCTGTATATGGAGATGGCTTTGTTGAAATGTTACGTCTTTATATCCAGAGATGAAATAAAACCCGCCATCAAAAGACTTACGACAATGATTAGAGGAATAGGAAATCCCTTGGTGGCTATTTATTTACGCGTATATTTGTGCCACACCGCTTCTAAACTTTTAGGAAAAGATAGTGAAGGATATTTTTATGAAAATTTGAAGGAATTTATTGAGGAATATCAGCAGGTATTGTTTTAAATTTTTATATGTTAAAATGTGTGGGTAGCTAGTTACCACTGTCTAAACAAAATGTTTAAAGTTAGTGTCAAATGATTTTCAAACTTATGTTTTGGACTATAATTATCAAAATTTGATATTTGAAGTCATTTAATGAATTCTGGTTTTAAATGCATAGTTCTCATTTCAGATATTCTTAACTTCAATGAGGAAAAAATATGAAACACAGTTACTAACACAAGACAAGTATTTAAATCTTTTTGTACCAGCTTTGGATTGGCTGTTATTTGGGACACTGAATTCTAATAAATGTAAAAGTGATCTATTGGATGAATTCATACAAAAATGTGAAGAAATCGAAAACAAGTAATAATATTAATTTAACTTATATTAACATATTGTTACTACCTACCTATATAAAATATTGTTATTATATTGCATTGTGACTTTGTTTCAGTGAATTGTTTTTATGTTGTCTTGTATCTGCATTTGACTCTCCAACAATAATTAAGAAGGCCCCAAAGATTCTGGAAATGGTACACAGTTATGCTGATAAAATGGGTAAGTGCTTTAGATATACCCTCTAATTTTCTAAAATTTTCTTTCATAAGAACCATCTCCTGACAATAACATAAAAAGAATTGGCAAATTTAGCCCAGGCTTTGCGCTTATCAACATATTTTGCGATTAATTTATACTAATATTATAAAGCTGAACAGTTTATTGGTTTGTTTGAGCGCGCTAATCTCCGGAACTATTGGTTCGAATTGAACAATTCTTTTTGTTTTCGTTAATTCACTATTATTAAGGACGGCTATAGGCTATAAAATATCACGCAAAGATCTGTAGGATCCGAACAGCGAGTAAAACCGCGCGAAAGTAGCTAGTGTATAAAAATACATGCCACTTTTCGTTGTAATGTTATTACTCAACAAAATTTTGGTCTTAAATTATTCGTGGAAGTCCAGGGAAGGTTTAAAAAGAGAACTGAGAAAACTTAGTTAATTTTGAGGCGGAACGAAGTTTGCCAGGTCAGCTAGTTTTTATATAGATACCTATATGTTTATTATATTCGTCAGATATTATGATGTGATGACATTTAATATATTTACTACTGCATATACTAGTCTTCCACATACACTCTACTACCACTAAAATCTCTGAAGTACTCTGGGGTCCACCAATGAGGCCGTCCACTATTTTATTCACTCTATTTTAAACTTGCTCTTCATTGTAGTCATGATGAACGAAGTATTGGCGTCTCTGGGTGAGCACCTCTGCAAAGCCGACACTCATCGCCAGATAGCGACCGAGTCACTAATACAGACGTGGTGGAAAATTGCCAGCAACATGAAGTCCACCAACAACTTCCTACAAGTTCTAGAACCATGGCTTCAGTTTGCATGCACACATTTATCGGTAAATATTTTGTTTGTACCTATTACAAATTCAATTGTATTTTTTCCGACTTCAGAATCGACCTAAAGACTGTTCCTATTGTAGTTAGCGATCCATATTGACCGTAAACTTAGAGCGGTGGCTAGGCCTGCTGTGTAACGTGTCGCGGGTTCGAATCCTGAATGGAACAACAACTTGTGTGATCCACATATTGTTTCGGGTTTCGGGTCTCATTGGGATATCATATGTGAATATGTATGTTTGTAACCGTACCTAGGATACAGGAGAAACTTCAAGTGTGAGGCAAAGATTTGTTTGATCTATTCAAGGCTGCACGATGACTGCACGGTTGGTGCGGTGGCTGGGCAACTGCCTGCCGTGCAACGTGTCGCGGGTGTGATTCCCGCACGGAACAACTCTTTTTTGTGATCCACAAATTGTTGTTCCGGGTCTGGGTGTCATGTGTATGTGAAATGAAATTGTATGTTTGTAACCGCACCCACGACACAGGAGAAAATCCTAACGTGGGGCAACGTTCTTTTATAAAAAAAAATCTATTCATGGTCCTACGCATGGACTAAAGATGAGGTATTGCAAGCATAATGACATGAAGAGATAACTCAATCAATCATTTCATTTATTATTTGTTAACTAACTTTGTAACTCTATTTGATGATAGTAAAACTGTAAGCTCAAATTCACAATTATCTGCTACTTTGTTACTCACTTAAATTGAAACATTTCTTATAGACGCAGCATGTGAACGTCATATTGCGCGGGACGATACGCTACATGATCAAGTGCGGTAAGCCCGCCGACGAGTTCTCTGGAAACTTCCAGTTCGTTATCAAAAGAATGCTCAAGTCTATCCCTGATGTTGAAGAACTGTTCTTGATGGTAAGTGACAGGCAAGTCCAGCGCATGTAGACATGATCCATATCTGTAATCTGTGAAGTAAATTATATCTGTAGTAGGTAAGTTGGACTATTAGGGGACCCGATACTCATTAGGGGAACGGGTACTGCTGGTAATGTTTCGCACTCGTCTTACTACCAAAAACCTAAAAAAGCACATGCGTCATTAAAAATGTTTTTTTTACTATTTTAATATAAAATGGCAACATTGATTTATGCCATAAGTATTGTTATTGGCTTAAAGGAATTGTACCCAGGCCATAAACACAAAAAAGAAAAATAGGTATTGTTATGATAGGAAAAATAGCGCCAAATTAATTGGTACAGAGATAAATTTTTTTTTTCAGTATTTTTACCAATACTAGGTATATAATAAAATGGATTACCTAAATTGTATTACCTTATTGCAGGACGCCTTCATGCCGCTGTTGGAGTTGGTACAAACATCGAACGCCCGCACGATGTTGGCTAAAACTGTTTTGTCTATATTCTTCTCGCGATACAACTCGGTGCAAATTGAAGACCATATCGTCATCTCAAGTCTAATGAGGCTATGCTGTATACTTCACGATTCTATAAAGTACGTACCTACCAAATAAGCATTTTTTTTTCTTAAAAACTGTAGGTACTACCGTACTAGTGACATTTATCGCTATGATAAGTATCTTAGGAGAGGTTTAGCTGCATATTAAATGTAGGTACCTACACATAGCTATCAATATTTTTAAGTTACGCGATATGGACTGAACCTTACGCCATGGTTAAGGTTACATCTCCAAGCTCGCCATCATAAAAATTTAATTAAAATTTAAAAAAACCCCGACGAAACATATAAAATTCCTTGGGGGACCGCCCCAAATATTTTATTATCTAGGTACTACATATTTCTATTTTGTCGGGGGTCTAATTTATTATTTTATTTTATAGATTTTGTAGGTATTTTATGTAATTTTCTCTCGATTAAGTCATCAACATTCCCTTTCGGTGCGCTTTCATTTGAAACCCCACTCGAGTATATTTGCACCCGGTTAACTTCCTTAAAAACCTTCCCCACTTACCCCCAACACCTTCTAAACGGCTCAACCGATTTTCGTCAAACATGTCTAAGAACACTCGCACGTAAGTCACTTTTAATACAAAAAAAAAAAACTAAATTGAAATTGCTTCATCCGTTCAGGCTCTAGGATGCCACAGATCCTAGAGCCTGAACGGATGAAGCAATTTCAATTTAGGATGCCACAGATCCTAGAGCCTGAACGGATGAAGCAATTTCAATTTAGTTTTTTTAGGGTTAAAAATAGTACAAAACGAAACACCTTATCATTAAAATAACTCGAATGAAAAAAATTGAGAAGTTGCTAGTTACCTAAACTAACTTTTTCCGGTTCATAATATATTGGGTTATCATTAGACATAGTTGTTACGCTTCGCTGCAATAATCCAGTCGCATTGAGAAACAGACTTAGTTTTTCAAACACTAGACAGATTTGTTGTCGAGATGTTTTGAAATGTACTGTAAAAACTGAATAAAGTATATTGCAACCAAACAATTAAAGTTACAAAGGCCAAAATGTGAAATTGATGAAATTTAATTGATGGAAAAATACCGTGCACTAGGCTTTCTACTAGCATATTAAATTGTTTGATTATTGCTACCTACCACGTGTGTATTACCACGACCTCGCAGAAAACTGGCATTAAACAACTACAGCGACCTGTTTGGCCTTGTGGGCGAGGTCATCAGGGGCTCAACCCTCGTTCTTCGTCAGATTAGAGAAACGACCGACCGACCACGGACGGGCAAACTTACTCGGGATGAGCAGGAGCAGGCCTCCCGTTACTGTGGACTTACGACATCGTCAGAATCGCGAGCAGAAAAGCACTTCGCGCTAAGTGCTACGCCTCCAGCTTTTTTATCAGAACCGTTAAGGAGTCGAATTCTTTGCCAAATTCTATGTTCTCCGAAGGGTAATAAACCTTGGTGTCTTCAAGGCTCGAGTATATAGATTGCATAAGGCGTGGTCCATCATAGGCCCAATTATCTCATATTACCAGGCAAGACAGGGGCAAAACTTAAGCCCATTCACAATAAATAAAAAACGTAACCGAATGACGTGGATGACTAAGGGGCGAATTTGTATGGTGAACGTCTTGACGTCTCTGGTAGAATAATTTATATGGATTATCAACCTTAAACATACTAAAATAAAACTCTTATTTCAGTGCGGTAACAGTTGAGGATGAAAGTAAAATTTGCGGCGAATTAATCAATAAGTTTATACAAGCCGTGACATATCAAGATGATCTCGAGAGACAGCTGAATTTCTATGTGGAGTGCCGCTCCTCATTCATCAAATTGGACACCGTTCTCATTACTCTAGTTCATGTAAGTATCCAAATCCTTCTCCCACCCAGGGTCGGGCGAGAGGGAGTGTCAGACTTACTGACCAAAACCCCCATTCCTTCTCCTGCTCTAAGGCCGAGGCCGCGGTGTCTCATTGCGCTTACCCCGCAACACCGACTTAAAACTTGAACCTGCCCTTTTTATAAATACCTATTTAAATCTATTATAAATTTATTATTACCTACCCCTTCAGACCACGGTACAAGAGTTTGTAGATAAGTACTTTAAGAAGTAGTTTTTATGGAAGTTTCGGAAAACTTGATATTAGCACTAATGAACTAATATCAAGTGCTTATTCTCCCAAGAATATTATATAGTACTACCTTATTTGTTTGATGTAGGTATGTTTTGTGGTGGTTACAAAAATGTGTGAATAAATGATATCGAAGTTTCCCACATTAGGAGAATGTATTGAAATACATTATAATGTAGAAAAAATAGAACAGATAACCTCCATTGCACAGCGCTAATAGTTTAAATGTTGAAACACATTATAAACGTAAAGTCATACTGTTTGTACATGAATGTATGTAAACAGTTTTGTATGACACCGCTCGTTATATTAGCGAACCACATCGTTCTGCGTCATTGCTCACTATAAACTGAATTCAGTTTACAGTAAAATCCCCACATGCTGATATTTGTGCCAAGTTTTAAAAGACGATCGGTTTTTTTCTCGGTAATGTTTAGCTTCCTTCCTTGTGTTGAATTAGCCGTCTCGGTATTTGTGCCACCAGTAGTTCCTGTCTAGAGCGTTTATGATTATATAGCTTCAGTCAGCGGCTTCGCCCGCGTGCTGTGTTAATAAAAAGCAGCCTATAGCAATAGAACAAATACGAAGTATACATAAAATTTGTTATTAATCGTCTCATTTTTATGAATACATCTCCAATGGGTAAATACCCTGTTACTTACTAAGTCTCCGCTATCCGTCCGTCCATTGATAGAATGGTACGGATCTTACTAATAGGTAAGTAGGTATTATAAATATTTCATAAAATATTCATTAATCTACAGAATTGACCTCTCTACAGATTTATTATAAGTACTTATAGATTATGTATACCTAGTAAATATTTGATATACCTACCTAATGGGTAGATATGTCATACATTTTTTGTTGTATGACACGATAAAAACCCCGCTTATGATACCTTGGAAGAGTATGTAGAGGGATACATAAAAATGAGAAACTGCACTTTTTACCGGTTACCCTTATAATAGTTGGAAACGTATTATTACAATTTTAGCCGAATGTTACCGATTCGAGACTCAATGCTTGATAATTAAATTTTTTTTGAGGAAGGCAAATCTTTAAGTTTATTCTCTCGGCTAGGGTAACGAGAAAGTGTCAGACTCTTGCTGACTAAAAACCAACCTGTTCCATCTGGCTGAGACTGCGGTACCTACTTACATAATAATTGTGTTGGTTTCCGCAATCCCGGTTGAACATCGGCCCTATTTGGCCCTATCTGTTGTGTTCTAATGGCTCTCTCTAGACGCGCCGTACGCTCGGGTTATGTCCGAGCGGCGAGCTACCCTTGCTCGCCGTCCTTGCGGTGGTCGGAGATCTAGCGACAATCTCCGACAGGTGGAAGGTGAGGATGCCGTGGCGTGGGTCTCTCTAGAGGGGGATCTTACCCACACTTGCCATCACTGGGCTTGCGACACCGAACAACGATGTTCTTAATATTTACTTTATTTATTAATTCTTATTTCGTGATAAGGCTGTGAACACATTAGCGGCGCGTGCGAAATCTACGCGTGGCAAGTGGTTGCAGCGCGCTTGTGCTGCGTATTGCTTTGTGACCGTGCCTTCCCTACACTGTACGCTCACCAAAACTCAGCTGTACCTTCTGTCAGGGCAAGTCGCACTCCTCAACAACTGTATTGGGCAAGGTAAGTTCAATACTTTTCTACAAACATGCTAACAACTCTATGATTTGTTCCATTCTGTTTTATTTCAACCCATTTTACTTATTCTATTTTGATCAATGAGTAAAATAGATAATTATAAGTAAAATGGTTAAAATTCGATTTTCAAAAACGACACACTGATACACACATGAACAATTCGTATGCTTAGACGTCAAAGTGAAATGGCATGATTCAATAAGCGCGAGTGAAAACCGTTTACATTTTAACGTATCACTTGCTGAGCGCTTGTAACCTATCTACACCTTTTTACTTATAATATCATTGATTTTGCTCATAACACGAATCCGTGTATAAAGAGGTTAGGAAAAGATTTTTGAACTTTTCTCGATCCGGTAATCGAATCTCTTTATTTTTATTACAACCATACTAATAATATTCCGTTTTAAGTAAAGTTAGTTAAAAAAGGTCCTGGACTAAGGACTATAACATACTACTTACACATATGTATTAGTACAAATAGGTTCTCTACATATTTGAATCTTTACCTCGGTCAAAAAACATCTAACTTTTTTTCAGCGGAAGCAAATTTTAAGGCTCTCATTGGTCTGATCCCTGATATACCAGATTACATATTAGAAGATGGACAGAAGAAACCAACTCATTTTAAAGTCGCAGGCATTCTGAGTGACTTCTTGTCGACGTTATTATTGCTGCCTGTGAGTCTTCCACGTAATTTAGTATGAAAATAAAAAGTTATTAAAAATTTAGATTTATATTATTTATATAAGCTGTTTTTTTTAATTAAGTATAATAATAATGCCGATAGTCGTGTCTGCCAATGGTCTCATGGCTAAAAGCCTTGATAAACACCTAAGCAGGCTTACGTTAGATGATTGGGTCAAGAATCTGATGTAGAAAGCTGTATGTACTTCTAGACACGGCGCGCATTGTCCGGAGATTCCTTTCTCTGGAACTCTGACCACCGGTTGCTTGGAACCCTCCCGTAACCGGTGGGATACTGCTTTTTTATATTTTTAAGTGTTCTTTTTTTGTTTTGTGAAAATATTTAAAAATCTAAAATTCAAGTTTAATCCTAAATAATAATGAAAAATAAATGGTATTGTAGGACAATGTGGATAGCAACTGTAAAGCTTACATACTGACTGGGTTTATAAAGACGATGGAGAGAATATATTGGAAGAAAACCGAGCCTCTATATTACAACACCCTACTTCGGACGTTGGACCTGCTCTGTGAAATGACGCAGGACACCTACATTCACCATTTGGAATCAGGTTGGTATATAACTACATAGTATACCTAAAACAAAGTCGCATTCTCTGACCCTGTATCTCTATAAATGCGTGTATCTTTAAAACCACGCAACTGATTTTGATTTTTAATAGACTGAGTAATTGAATAACATCTATTTAACAGTGAGCATCCAACAATTTAGTGTCAGCATTGCACCTACTATCTACTAAAAAAAAAAACATATCATGTTGCATCATTATAGTATATTTGACGACAGCTACAGGGAATTCCTGGCCTAAGCCACCTGCCGGATATTAATCTATAATTATTTCTACATATTTATTGGATTGTATTACGCAACATATTTTTGTTTCTAGTACTCTCAAATGACCAACTATATGGAAGTGATCCAGAATTCATAAGTGTACTAGACAGGCACGCAACAAACATTTGTCAGGAGTTGCTGGTTGTTCTGAAGATGCTGGGCGATAACAGGGAGACTAAGAAACAGTACAATTTGTCTCTTGAGCTGTTCTGGCGGGTGGTGAGGCGCGGGGAGTTAAACGAACGCCCCATGCTATCTCTCGCGGCTAACCTGTGGATGCTATCGCAAAAAACGCAAGACTCCAACAATAAACTTGGGGTAAGTAACACGAATTTAAACTATTTACATTATTTATATACTAGTGAGTTGAGTTGACTTCGACCATTTGATCACCTAATAGAACTTACATAAGTTTTTATTTTTATGGATTACATTTATACTTCATGCACAGTAGTATAACTGCACGGTTGGCGTAGGGGCTGGGCAACTGACTGCTGTGCAACGTGTCGCCGCCGTTTCGGTTCTCGCACGGAACAACATTTTGTGTGATCCACAAATTGTTGTTTCTGGTGGGTGTGGTTTGAGTATTTGCATGTTTGTGACCTATAGGACATAATCCAAACGTGGACCAAAGATTTGTTTAAAAAAAACACAAAATGTAGGTACATAGGTGGACTTAATGCCTCAAGCACAATTTTTCCTGTAGCCAAACTTTGAGGCAGTTTAATAATTGGCTATTTAGGTAATTATATTACAAGTCTAGGTATATGAAAGGCGGCGAACATGTTTCCATATTCTACCCACAATTTCCGACTCTGAGCTTATAAAGTTCGAAATCCTATATAAAATAGTACTACAATACAATTTTATTTTTGTTACAGAAATCAATCCTCGCTTCATTGAAAAACGAAACAAACCCCAATATACACGTTTTACTTCAAAAACTGGAAGAAGGATCAAAAAGTACCTAATTTTAAGACCTTAGTTGGTGCTATTCAAGATTTGTAGCGTTTGTAAAGTGTCTCGATTACTTTAAGCAGTTTTTGTAACGACTGTTTTTTGCTGTAGTAGTTAGCTTCAGTGAAATTAGTACACTACTTATATCTATGGCTCTTTCGAAAGATTTGCACTAAATATCTATTTTCTATGAATCTGGCGTCATAGTGATATCGCCCAATATTGTAAAAGAAGTTTTGTAATTACTTTAATTACCGTTAATTTCATAACAATTGAGAAATCTCGGTTCAATGGTTTACGTTATCGTTGTTTATTTTTAGAGTATAAGAGTTTATTTCAATCATTCCGTTAATATATTGTGTTTACTTATGTTTTATTTTCTTAGAATATTTATAATGAAATGTATTACAGGTGCTCTGTGTATACATATGGTCACTGCCAATTAAAAAATAAATAATACATGTCCCTTTATCTTGTCTTTCATTCTGCTTAATTGTCGGTGTGATCGTGCTAATATCTGATACCTAATATTAACGTAAGTTCTGTTATTACAATCTCTTTTTCTCTTTCTTTTCTCTTTAAAAAAAAACGTTGCCCCACATTAGAATTTTCTCCTGTGTCGTGGGTGCGTTTACAAACATACAATTCCACATGCACATCACACCCAGACCCGGAACAACAATTTGTGGATCACACAGAGTTGTTACGTGCGGGAATCGAACCCGCGACACGTTGCACGGCAGCCAGTTGCCCATCCACCGCGCCAACCGTGCAATCAATCGGTACCGCAATCGACTTTTCTAGACAACAAATCGATTCTAAGTGGATGCGGTTGGTGATTGTCGAGCAAGTAACGCACTATTGGGTGCAATTCTAATTGAATTATGAAAACTTTTTCATCCAACTTTATTTCTTTGTTTTTAATTTTTTTATTTGGGAAGTCAGCCGTTACATAGTAGCTTTTATGAATAAAATCAGTTACTTGATTACAAGCCGTATAGTACATAATACTTACATACACACGTAAGCTTGTTCCTTTGCTTTGAATTACAAAGTGTATCTATTATTTGATTCTACGAAATCTGAAGGAAAACCAAATAGTCCATTTGTAATATAAATTATACCTTAAGAATAAAAAAAAAATGAGTGCAATTCAAGGAGCTTGGTAGTAGGTTTGAATTTGATAACGTTATTTTTCTATTTTTTAGATAATAATTCCAAGATTTTGTGAATATGAGCCCTTACTCCTTACTTTGTAAGTAGACAGATATAGTGATGGGGTTTGAGGCGGGCGGCCGGCAGCAGATGGTCGGTGGCGAGAGTGGCAGCGGGCGAGGCGCGAGTGGTCGAGTTGGTGCAGGTGACCCCTACAGTAGTTCGCCGGATGGAGTAAGCGGACATTGTCCGGCAAGACACGCTTGAGTGGTGCGCGCTCTGTTGCGCCGATCTTTCACCTTCGCAATATTGACGCCTATAAAACCTTGTCATTTCAATAATGTGAAGTTACTTTCATTCCAACAGAAACGAAGAATACAACTCGACTATCTGAAAAGTAATTTTAGTGCAAAAGTCTTATCTGGGTGTAAACCCATTTCCAAAATGTCCAAACTCGGATGTTTGGTACGTTATCGCTGCAGTGGTTTATTTTATGCGCAGAAGATGTAGTGAGTTAATAACAATATAGTTAATATTTGAATACTTTTTGCAGTTGTTAGTCTGGGCCGTATGTGAAGGAGTTGTTGCTAATGAAGAACAAAATGGATTCGTGCAACCGTTGGACTTTGGGCCACTATTTGATTCAGGTATTTCATTTATAATATTCAGGATGTAGAAAACACAAGCAGCACCAAAAGCTAATGCTCGCACGCTATTATTTAATATAATTACTTATTTTATCATTGTAATCGTCTTTTCAGGCGCTACTTCGCTGGCTTCAGAACCTATCGCGGCTGCAGTGCTAAAAGTAGATAAAAACCAATATCCGCAACTTTTTGACACTATTGTTAGTAGTTCCATCGATTCATTGCAAACTCGTGTAGCACCTATAGAAAAAGCATTTTCTGCCGATAGTTTCGGCTTTAATCCCATTGCCAGTCAAAGCTTTTTACCGCCGGGGAAACCTGCTAGACTAGTAGCGCCGCCGAGACAGCAACATAATCAGCCACAACCGATACCTATTGGGCAACAGCTTTCTCCTTTGAGATATGACATTCGCACGGTGCATGACGCTGACTATAAAGTGTACAAACCTGAGGATGAGGAACAGGGAGAAGAGATTTTAGCTGCTTTGAAAAAAAATCCGAGCGTTGCTGCTTACTTTAAACCTACACAAACCAATGTTGAAGTGGCTCATCCACTGAACTATCGCAAGGAAGAATTAAACGAAAATTCTGAAATTGAACAAAACTACAAGCCAAATGCTTATATTCCAGGACCAACTCGTATTCGACGATACACTAGCGGCAGGCAAAGGGAAAACCTGAAGAAGAGCAGCGATGATGACGACGATCCCTATAACTACAACGTCGAATACATTTCTAAACCAAAAGCATTCGACAGTAGTCTGTACAGCAGCGCTTACAAAGAACAAAAAGACCCCAACAAGGATTACGAGTACCCTTACAGCTATGACTCAGGGTACGACCACAAAGAATATGAAAGAATAAAGGAGCTGTCAGAGAAGCAGGCTGCAGAGATCAAACAAAATCCAGGAAACTGTAAAGAAGTAAAAAAAGATGGTATGACCTGCACAACGTGCAAAGATCCCAAAACTGGAGGAAACTTTGAGTCATGTTCCTATGTTGCTGAACCAAAGAACAACAAATATGCCTACTCTAAGGAAAGGAAGTTTGACAGCAACGACGAGCCTGATGAAGCTGAGGCACCGCAACAAAGTGAACCAGCCCAGAAATCTGAAAAATATGTCCAGTCCGACGAGAGCAGTGAGGAAAAGTACTCTAAGGCAGCTGAACCTAAGGAACCAAATAATGACGATAATTCTGGAGAAAAGTATAAGGCTTACTACATACATAATTCAAAACCTACACCTAGCGAAGCTTTACGTGCTGCAGAAGACAAACAGAGTTCGGAAGAGGAGGGAGACGGTTCTTCGGGAAAATCTTATGACTACAAAAAAGCATTGCCAGGTTTTTATACTGATAATGAGCCTAAAAAAGATGTCGAACATGTATTAGCCGAATTTAAGAAAAAAGATAGGTCCTCATGTAAAAAAGTTCAGAAAAACGGAATGACCTGTTACCAGTGTATCGACAAAAATGGTCTGAAAAATGAAGAATGCATGTTCGTGTCTGAGTCTGCGCCCAAACGAAGCCATTTAGCGTATCAAGAACTTAAAGAATTCACTTCTAAACCCGCCACTCTCGACCAAGGAAATGAGGGTGCTGAAAGCAAAACTGTGACCACAAGTGCTCCTCCAGCTCAAAAGTCTGCTGCGTATGTGGTAGATAATACTAATTATGGCAAAAAATTAAAGCGTAAGAAAGCACCTCAGAGCATTGCTGCAGCGGCTACCGTTCCAGTTGCCAGTGCAGTTAAACCTGCACCTGTAGCAGCTAATGTGCGTAAAACTAAGAGGAGTGTTGACAGTGAAGCGGAACGAAATGCTCAGATTGTAGATGTAACTAATATAGCCCAACCTGAAGAATTCGCGGGAAGCGATTCTAGAGGAGCTTTTTGGGCAGATACAATGCCAAGATATAGCGCATCGTTAGGCGTAACGTTGCCTGAATTCATGCTGTCAAGGTCGGAGCACGAACTTATGTTTGATGAAACCGTCGCTAGCGCGTAAAAGATATTTAAGGCTTGATTTGTTAGCCAACAAACTCAGTATTAGTAGAGCGTGTCATTGTACAACGCTTTAGATAAAACCTGAACTAAAGGTAACGGGTATTTGTTGTGTAATAGTAAAATAAGATTTCACGGACTGACGTGCTGCGAGTCAGAATTGAAAAACAACAAATATATTCGCAGACACTCCGTGCAAACAAATCAACTTATTGGTAGTGTTTTTGTTGGCTACTTATTATAATATAATTACGAATAAAGTGGAAATGTGTAGTAAGGCGTCTGTAATACAAAAATATTTTAGGATGTCGTACCTACCTATTGAAGAACTTCGTATGATGACTGTTCATTTTATATCAAAGTACTTATTTTACGTTGTTAACTAGTTATAGATGTTATGAAATTATTAAATTTGACGTTATTGTTATTATTTGGGCTTTTCTTAACATTTTTAACTTAAACTTATTTACATCGCACCTAAATAGCTAAGTTTTGATAGTGATTTTATAAGATCTTGGAACTTCATTGAAAAAAAAACTGATAAGATAAATAGAAGAATCGAGAATTTTCTACGGCCAACGAGCAGAAGGATAAGTTGATGGCAAGCAATCGGCGCCGCCCATACACACCCGCGGGTTTTTGGGATTTAGTGTTTGGGGAGACATTATGGAAGGGGAAGGAAGATTGGTCTTCCGGTAACCCCACTCAGACGGCGCAACAACGCTGTGGTTTTCCACACTTATAAATTTATAAACCCTTTTTTGGGAACCCTAAAAGAACATGAGAAATAACTTAGTTATATAATAGGCTTAATGTTATACCTATATTTTAGGTATGTATATATTATAATGGTTAACGACTTCGTTAACAAAAAACCTTGTAAAATGAGTTTTAAACCTGACGATACATTAATTACTCTTCAATAGGGACTTGACATCATCAGTCTCAATGACGATATGGTTATATCCTCTATGATGATAATATAAGTTATCCTATAGTTTTCCATTGCTCAGCAAGGCTTTTTCTCTCACTTAGAAGGTTTGAGGCGGCCGCTTGCCCCCCGACCTCAGCTGGCGTAGGTTCATATAAGTGTAATTTGTACCTTTTGATTTGTGTTGGTAAGAGCCTAACCCCAGCTATTTAGGATTGAATGCTAGGCATATGAACCGATACCTAAATGAAACTGTATCGTCAGGTCACAATAGTTGGCATGTTATTCGGTCAGTGTCCTAGATGTCAATACTGTTTTTAATGCTTCTATTTTTGCTGGTAATTGTCCAAGATACGAACGTCACTAAGGAACAAACTCGTATGAGCAAAAGCGGGCTACCGACTTCGGAAGAAAGTAATTAATTTCAGTCGTAAGCTGGTCATACAACAGCGCAGTGTTCTGTCTGTTCTTGATATAAATAAAGTTGTGTAAGATCGGAAGCCAATAATAAAATTGTAGATAGTTGTTTGTTTTGTGTAGTGGCAGCCGGACTAGTCTGTAGCCAACCTTACCGGTCGAGTTTGTGTTCTTGAAGTTTTTGTAAGTAGCCACTATTGATATTTTACTTATCCAAACAAATATTTTTATTCACTACCCATGCCATTACTGGTTTATTTAATCCTCATTACTTTCCTAATTTTAAATGTATAAGTACTTTTGTTTCTATGTACCTAAGGTTCCAAACTCAAATATTAATTATTTGACAGTTAGGTACCTATCTAATTAAAACAACTAGATACCTACCTAATATTTTTTTAATTTGATTGGGTGGTTCTAAATACAAAGTTAACTTTATTATGAAAAAAATAATTGAACAATACGTAACTTATGCTATAGAAAGAATGCCGCCGCAATATATCGACACTGAAAAAAATTATTGTCGCTGTGCCAAGAAGCCAATTGAACAAAAAACGGGGTTATATTATTGCGCAGTGATTTTGATCAGAGGCTCGCAACGCTGGCTGCGAGACTTATTTTTATCGTATTTATAATTTTAAGCTAACTTTAGATTGCCTCGTTGGCCATTACTCAAGTGATCGTGAGTAATTCTGAAACTGTGTTTGTATGCCTTTATCATGCTTACACAAAGTAAAAAGTAACATCTTTAAATCCTCAAACAAGTAGACAGTAGTTCACATACTTATAATAAGAGGCGGTAATTGATTAGAGATTTTGCAGCATTACGGCGATGTCAGTACTGAATAAGATGGTTCAGTGGTTGCAAACGTTTACCTTCCTAAGTGTGTAAGCAAGGAAAGTTAATTGAAAGATTTTTTACATTTCCAGGCAATTACAATTAACAATGAATGAGCTGGAATACGATGAGGAGAGCTATGTCGACGTCAATTCCTTACCACTCAGACCTCCACAGCCTATGATACCACCGGAGCGGCCCGTGCGTCGACCATGGCATCCCGTCATGTGGGACGATTCCCTTACCGCTACGCCTTCACAAGATCAAAGCGAGACAGATGAGGTATACACTACTAAACCGTTTGATTGCCCTAAAGCTAATTAATTTGTACATATATCCGCCTAATTACCGACTTACCTGCTTACCTACTTGTGAGTCAAAATGAAAACAAAGCCCACGACACTGTAAAAAGTGTATAACTTTGTAAATATTTTTTTAAAAGTCCTTACAATTAACTTGTTATTTATACATAGATTATGATGCGTAGAGAACATGGGTTGACTTATTTCTGATACGTTCTTGAGACTACTCCAGTTGCTTTATTCAGGTTCCTCGGCGCTGGGCGTCACCATATATTACATTTGCTGAAGCCCACCGACTCAAGAACCCTCGTGGTCTTATTGACTTCGAACCTCCGGAAGATGTGGTCAGCTTAGTCACTTTAGCCTCATTATGTCGTTGATGCAAATACTCGCCTCGTCTATCTCAATCTTCATGATTCAAATTCTTTCTAGTATATGTACCTAGTGTTCGTCACTGTATGCTAAATCTATCTTTGCATATATCTATTGTTGACTTTTTTTAACATTATTTATTTAAAATTCGGCTGACAAACCTTGAAGGGTTACTGTATATATTTTTCCATAAGCGCACTGTATTACCTATACGCCATTTCTTATATCTGACAAGTTCTAAAAACCTAGTCTAGTGTGGGTATTTCTAGTGACAACAAGCAACGCTTGGTAGCCGTACTTATTGGGTATTTATCTATGGCCACATGCCGCTATTTTCTTTGTCTCTTATACCTTCTTAAGGCGCCTCCACCTTTCATATTCAGTAGTCACCTTTTTGATCTCTCAGCGTAAGTTGCATTTAATGGCAATAATCGCCGCTAGATTTTTATTAACACAATTGTATATGTGCTGATGTTAATATACATATATAATCCTTTCTCTTCAGTCACTATCTGTCTATTATAAAAATACCGCAACATATTCATAATCCATTGCGTAGTTTCAAAGTTTTAAGCAAAAGGAAATACATAGGGACACACACACAGAGAGAGGGATAGAGACTTCGTTTTTTAATATGGATTGAAGTCACAAGGCACATAGACCTCGCTAAACTCCACGTGGAACTTAATGTTCATTCAGTTTTCACTACTGAAAATTGAACTTACAGTCCAGTATGAAGACTGAAGACTCTCTGCTATGTAAATTTTAGAACAGTAGGTAGATATTTCTAATGTTCTATTACTGAAACCATATTAGTTCACAATAATCACCGTAAAAAATAGTTTCGATTACAATGAGTTGGTATAAAACTTACTTTTAGCAAATTGGAAATCTCATACCGCAGCGACGATTGGGATTAAGACACGCTGTTTTTATTCCTATACTATAAATTTTGCTTGTAAGAGCGTGCCAATGTTTTTCAAACTTTACCTAAACAAAATAAATCATCGAAATTTTAACAGTTTAAAGGAAGAACAAAGTGATTTGTGTAAACTTCATTACGTCTATCACGACACGTTTTGTGTGCCAAGTCATAAAATGTGTGTTGTGTGAATTGTTTCTGTCCAGTGTATCATAGAAGTAGTGTCTAATATGTTTAAATAGCAGTAATTAAATTTTAGAATGACCTCTAGAGTTTATAGACTAACATCGTAATTTTCAAAATATTGTGGTAACCGTAACTTATGTCATATATTATTATAACTCTACTAATATAGTCTATTGTCTTTAAATGTTTATTTGTCCATCCAGTCTCCTTATTCTTTTTTATTTATCGTTTTGCATTATATATTTCGAGCTGTTTGAGTGGAATAATAATTCATTGCCAAACATCCCAAACATACGAAACGTCTGTAGCTAAAAAAGAAAATGTAGGACGGATATCAATACCACAAGGAGGTTGGCCCGTTACAATGTATATGCTCCCAGTAACTGCGTAGCTATAGCGTTATTGCAATTTCTTACTATCGTGTACGCTATTTATTTATGATATCGACAGACAGGAAAAGCCTTGATTTTCAAACGTTCATGGGTGGAGCAATGACGTCTAAGATGAAAATACATATTGCATAGCTCAGTTTGTTTATTGATCGGATGTTTATAACTTTTTTTGTCTCAATAAATACGAGTTGATACAGTTGTTCTTTTGGTATCATAATAAGTTTGCTAAATGTATTGCAAATACGAAAAGCTACGCTAATAGCACACAATATTTTTGGAGCATTCTACATTACGTAGCGGAACTTTTGTGTTAAATAAAAAGGAATTCAAAGAGTTGAAATTGCTTTAATATGCTTTTTTCTAAAATTATATTATCATCATATATATGTACATACATAAATCACATATGTAGCGATAAATATTATAATCATAACAAAACATTGTGTACTATTATAGCATGGTTGTAACTGGGTATATCGAGTGGACGTTGCCATTTTCAGTCTCTAGTTCTATGTTTTATTCCAGCCGCAACCACAGTCTCGAGAGTACCCACATAAGCAACGTATACGTAACCTGCGAAGGCTCATCGCCGATGGTAAAGTGAAGCCCACACCAGAGACACTCATATTTTTCCTTTGTAACAAATTCGCGGTTTCTGATGAACGGCAGAAGAAGATCGTCATCTAACAATAGGGTTTACGGCAAAACTACAAGTATTGGTGTGTCTATTAATAACAATAATATTAAGAAATAAATTTTGTTTTGTACTCTTTAAATGTAAATATAAAATGATATTTTTTAAAGTGGCGTAATTATTTTAATACCCTCAACAATGAAATATGTACAACAAATATAACATTATTATTAGAATTGTCGCCGTCGCGACTGAGCCGAGCCGGGTCGGGGGGCGGGACAAACTTGCAAAGACTCGAGGCGGAGTAGGTACATATACTTTATATTCTCATAAAAATTATCTACACACAAGACTTTTAATATAAAAACAAAATCGAGTTTCTCAAATACAACTTATATAAAGAAGTTCAATTAGGGATTCGACGCAGGGGGCCCCACGACTCGGTGGAGATGCAGGGGCGCCCCGCGACTGTCGCCAGCGCGGCGCGCGCCTAGCGCTAGGTGGCGGGCGGCGGCGCGGCCGGGGCCGCCGGCCCGCTCGACGCCGCGCCCGCCGCCGCCGCGCTGCCCGCGCCCTCCGCCGTGCCACTACCGCTGGCCTGACCCGTTTGCTCCTCGTCCTCCTCTTCCTCAGGGTCGAACTTCAGCATAAGCTGCTTGAACTGTAAAAGATACTCACTCCTTTAGAAGCCATATTCACGACACGTCTAAGCGGTAAAGTAATAGAAGCGGATCTCACCTCGAGGTAATCATCGACGAGTCTTCGGCGGCCGCGCTCGTCCAGTTCGTCGGTAGCGAGGTCGTCTTCTTGTAACTGTGTGATGGTGGCTTTAGGCTCGAATACAGGCGCGTGACGCCGAGATACTGCCTTCTCATACACCTTCACATTCTCAGACGGTGAGTATTGGTTGATTTTTCTGTTAAATATAAGTATATATAAGTAACATACACAATACGTACGTATCAAACCCGGTGACAAGTAGAAAATTCTACAGAAATCGATGTAATTTACGAAGAAATCTTTCATTTTATGAGGGTATGCGTACATTAACCTAAGTCCAGAGCTCAGTGGGAAAGCCAACGAAATAGTGAAATACTAACGCGTCCGTGAAGCCGTAGAGTTGCTTGAGATGCTGTTTGAGCACGAGCAGTAGCAGACAGCCGCGCGCCTGGCGCATGGCGTCCTGCAGCGGCCGCGTGCACTCCGGCATCTGCGCCAGCAACGTCTCCGCTTCCTCGTCGTCCTCCTCCTCGTCCAATGGTTCTTTTTCTTCTGTACTTGGTTTATTCAGTCCCTGGATCACAAGTTTATTTTTATTTTATACTGCTGTCAGAAACACCAAAACTTATGGGGCGACTGATAGTAGGCAGTCATCCTGATGACGCCTTTTAAAATTCTATCATCCTATTCATAAGCTTACATACAGAGTAAACTATAGAATTACATTGAGATCATCGGCGTCTTCCCATAAAGACATCTTATTGCATGAAATTAATAAGATTTCCTAGAAAAGACTCTTTTCTTAGTGCGATGTGTAAGACGTTGATGGTTAAAAATTTTAAAATATATTTACCTCACGAAAAATTTGTAACAAATTGGATCCCGATGTCGATATAATAATGTCAATGTGATGTATAATAAATAAAGGTTCATCTTGAACTTGAAATGGAAAATAGCTCAAATTATCAGCCAAGTACAGCATTTGATCCAATGGAGCAGTCTGAAATGCAATTAAGAGTTACAGTTAAGAGAGACATAATTTATAATTTAGGATTATCTTGTTCATTGGTTGATTTTATTATGTACTTGCTGCGGGAAAACTTACAGAGACGTCATCAAATTGTTTGAGTAGTGATAAAACCAACGCTCGTCGTTGCGGTCGCGTATTACGAAGCAACGAATATAAGAAACCGTTGAGAGCCGTCGGCAATTCATCTTGATCCTTTTTCCTGTGAACAAAAAAAAATGTGTCACATTAGTCAAATGCGCGACATCACCACGATGCACGAGGTGGAATAGCGTCCGTTATGACTTGGAACTGGTAGAGCTATATTTAGTTAATTCACGCGAGTAAGTTGTTAATATCAATAAATTTAGTGAAACTCACTATTCAAAAACAGGTGAACCCATTTATAGGATTTAATAAAAAAGATTGAACACTTACCTAAACCCTCTTATAACACCTTTATTTGCATTAACTTGCAATATTTTTTGTAACTGATAAGAGAGTTTTATGCCAAGCTGTGCCTTCATGTGAATGAAACCTGGATATTTCTTATCAATCTCTTGAAGATGTTTGTCGGCCGTATGAGATACCGTCACTTCTAGGTCCGTACTCATGCATATCAAATATGGAACAATCTAAAACGCAAACGTTATTATTAGTTATTTAGTTTAAGTAATTTATCTAGGGATCCAGATCTTCTGGCTTTTCCAATGGTAGAATACCAGCGGGGTTAAAAATGTATTACCAGCATTTTAAATAAACTGGCAATCATATGATTATCTATAACATAACAGTATTAATTGAATAATATACACCTAAGAGTCAATATTTATAAGCTGGATTTATAGAAGTTCAATTAACCATTTTATTTTTAACTAAAGAATAAATAAAGGCAAAATACAATAAAATTAGACTTGGTAGTCTTAAATGAACATTAAAATAGAAATAGTTTAGTATACCTGTACAGGATGCACGAGACCTTGTGCCAGCACTAGTTGCACGACCTTCATGGCACTGGAGCGCACCATGGTACTGGGGTGAAGGAAGGAGCCGAGGATCTCCTTCAGGTACAGTTGGATCACCGTCGACGCCATTCCGGACGACACGTCGCCCATCTCCTTGAGATTCTCGTGTTTTGATCTCTTTGACCCTGGAAGTTCAAAAATTTTTCGCGTTATTTATGGTATAAGAAAAGTATTTTTGCTATTTTCATGACTGGGAGATAAATACCCGCTACACTTCCCACTTAGTACACATACATCACTAAAAAAATATTAATACATATTTTTTTAAAACTTATTACGAATGGATAGAAAGTATACAACAATCTAAAAAACTTACATTCTTTATCTTGCCTTATCATTCTTTGCTCTTCCTCTTGTAAGTACATTTCAATGTTTCTCAGGACATCAGCTTTCATCTCAATCGGCGCTAAGTCGGATGTGAGAAGTTGGTGATAGAATTCCTTTAGTTCAGGTCTCAACATGAACTCGTAGTGCCTCACGCAGACCGAACCTAACGCTTTCAGAGTATGGGACACGAAATCTTCATCTTCGAGTCCAACAAAAAACATCAATGTTGTAAATATCTGTTCCTTTATATCCGCCTGAAGAAAAAATATGATTATAAAATAGAAAAACATCGAACAAAATTACTTAATGAAAAATAATTTTACTTTTGTTCAAAAAACTTACCGGTAGTCCTTCGATGACTCGCGCTTCCGTAAAATCAAAATACCGCAACAATAGTCCTACGATAAACAACGCGCGTCTGAAGTAAGGCCTTGAGTGTAGTGCTCTCGTCATTTCAGGATTCCGCTGCCAGCAGTGTTTCCATTGAAGCAGTACACCTGAAAAGGGTTAATGTTTGTCAAATATCGAATAATCATAAACTTAAAAGCCAAACGGTTGCAACAGAATAGAGTTGTATAACAGTACTAATTGTTTTCGTGTTATTAATTTTATGATACTTATTATTATATTTAACGGCTTACCCACTGTTTAACGTTTGCCGCATCATGTGTTGCTTAATGTTGCTTATGGATATGAGCCCCTAGCGAGGCTTGAAAATAGCCGAATTCCTCGTCAAGCAGTTACTTGAGTAAGCCGTAAAACATTTTACTAATTATTTTATAGAAACACCTTGCCTTGCCCAATCACTTCCCTATCCCCTCCCAATCCTTAAATATCCGAAACCCTTATCCCTAAAAGGCTTACTACGCAAACGGTAACTCCTTTGGTGGGTGTACATGGGCGGCGCTGATTGCTTACCATCGGGTAACCCGCCTGATTATTAACCGACCTATACCATTAAAACCTTTTATACATTCCTAGATAAAAATATTAAAGAAAAGTAGAACTCACCATGGTACTTATTGAATACATCCCTAATAAGTTTGTAGTTGTGCGTGAGGTTGTTGACAATGGCCGCAAGACAAGCGATGCACGAGGCGATGACGAGCTGCCCTCTTTGTAGGATCAGCTTCACAGCATCTTCCTCCAGCTGTGCCAGGAACACCTCGCTCGGGTGTTCCATTAAAGGCACTACTAACTCTAGCGTTGAAGCCACCGTCGACATAATCTGTTGCTCATACTGATTCTGCAAGAGAAAATTGAGTTGTACCACTATAGTGCAATAAAATAATTTGTAATTTCGGACCTGTTTTGTTATCATTACAACACGTCACCGGTATGTTTTAAGAAAAGGATACGTTTTGGTGTATCAATACTAATATTATAAAGATATAAAATTTGTAAGTTTGTATGTAGGGGGTAATCTTTGGAACAGCTGGTTGGATTGCCAAAATTCTTTCACTGATAGCTACAATGTTACTGAGGCTTTAAAACATCACGCTACTATGACGATGACGGATGAAACCGCGTGAGAAAGGCTAGTTTTCTATAAACATAAATAAATGCATACCTGACACTTCAAACTCAAGTATGGCTGCAAAGTTAGTGCATGATTCACTAACAATTGTGGCCTTATTTTCGCAAATAAATGCAATGTGGAGAGGCAAGCTAGAATGCGCTGTGATGAACCAGTCCCTGAAAACACATTAATATTATTTATGTACTGTTTACAAAGTAACTTTCGTAATACAAACATTAATAAATTTTACCATCAGCACTTGTCTCCTCTAACTGAAGTAAACTTTCAATGAGACAGTCTACTATTTGCTGACAAGCAAGCAACAGTGATTTTGGTGGTTGATAAATAATTTTTGTCGAATCATCCTTGTCTTCTTTAGGTTTGAATAACTGTAAAAAGTATGCAAAGGCGATTAGTAAGTTAAGGATGGCGATGTTGTTTAACAAGTATTCTTAGTTTACGATACACTTACACTAGTCAACAATTGCTGGAACCACTCGAGGCCAATATCCCGGGAGGATATGACGACGTCGGTGATGTTGAGCACCTTTCTGGTGAGCGGGTCCGCGGCGGCGGCCGTCATGTCCAGCGTGCCCGGCCGCGCCGTATTGGCGCACGGACTGAACCACATGTTTTGAAACACTTCCATCACTAACTTCCTGATACCTTCTTCATCATTCACTCTCCTTATCATCTTAACGCAAATCTCGGGTATTTTAGGGAACTCTGGGCACTCTATACAGATGTCTTTTAGAATTTTTATCACACGTTTACGCACCGATACACCAGTGTCCTAAAAGATTTAAATATATTTTTTAATTGAACACTAATACAGTAATGCCATCTAGAAGGATTATAAACACCAACACTCACCAATATTCTATTTGAGAGCATTCCATAATACTTATCAATAAGGTCGGGCCGACTGAGCACGAATTTCCCGACGAGGTCGACTGCAGCCTCCCGTACGGCAGTAGACTGATCCAGAAACGATCGATTTACTCCAATTTGCATATCTGGTCGCGCTAGTACCGCTGGGTCTGCCTCCACAATCATCGCGAGGCACTTCATCGCCTTCGTCCGTATGGCTATTGTGTTTTCACATAAAATTACAAGGATTTTCCTCAGATATCTGTCGAAGCTCTGAGAGAATGACCGTTTTGAAGCTAAGTACTGAGAGATTAGTTCCGCGCCACTATAATCTATATACGATTGCATCACTTGAACCTGGGTGCCACCTTGGTACCTAAACGGTCGGATTTTTTCGAGGAAGAAATTTTTCCGTCGCTCTATAGTTTTGAACTTCTCAGCTGACACAATCGCACTTGAGGCTAATTTCTTCTCAGCCTTTAGCCGGCGCCCTTCTTCGTCGCTGTCATCATCAGCGTCAGACTCTTCTTCGCTAGTTTCGTCCTTTATGTAACGTTTTTTCGACTTATTCTTAGGTTTTTTTGTCGGTGATGTACTTTTCGGTTGCACCACCATATCTCTATACCACTGCGTAATGTAGAAGTGCCTTGCGCAATTCCAGGCCTGATCTTTTTGTCCATTGATGGCCAGGTAATCTAGCAAGACACGCTGCAAGAATTCCGTTCTTTCTTCATCTTCATCCAGTCCTGAAGTTGCGCTCTATAAAATACAAAAAAAAAACTTTTTAATAATATGCACAAATTTTAATAACAATGCATAATGCATAAACTAACTAAAAACAAACCTGTCCTTGGTTGCCGTCTTTCTCCTCCTCGGCTCGGATGTCGCGTACGACGGCGTCCATGGTGGCGAGCTTGGCGCGGGAGTGCACGCTGTCCCGACGAAGGCGCGCCGCCACCAGCCCCAGGTACTCCAGCGACGCCACGCGCACCGACATCTCCATCGACTTGTCTGACATGTACTTCACCTGCATCAACACAACTCCTTTATTGAAGACCATTCATGAAAATTTCCACAGTTCATGAATAGCACATAAAATATTAAACATACCAGCATAGTTCCTAGCAGACTGAGCAGTAGCTCAGTAGCAGGCCACTCTGGTTTGTTCACAGTGGTGAGTAAATCGTGCACGAAATTTTCGAACAGGGGCCTGAAGTCCACTTCTTCGTTCCGACTTCGGCACTTGTTTAGGAATGACGTCAGGAATGTTCCACCCACACTGATTGCTGCCTCATACTTAGAAATTATCATGAGATCTTTATCTACTGCATTCTGTAATAAAATACATAAATTATTTAAGTTATGATCAAAACAAATAATAGGAGATACTGAGATATTGGTTGTCACTTACTTTTTTGCTGTCTGATAACTCAGGGTCTTTGTCTTTTTCTTGCGACTTGCACAATGTTTCGGGCAGAGTAACCACACACTGTACTAGTTGAAGAACAAGCGCAGTCAACATTTGTATCTGTTGGTCCGAACTAAGTTGGAAAGATCGAAGGTTGTGCTTAGAACTGGGAATACGTGCAATCGATGCCAGTATGTCTTCTAGCAACAGCCGCCGGTGCTGTTCGTACTTTGTGAATATCTGAAAAAAATATTTGACGTCAATAAACCGTATGAAATAATTGTAGCGATGAAAAGTGAAGTTAATGATACTGACGGTAGTGACGAGCTTGAGCGCACTGAGCTGGAGCTCGCTGACGTTCTCGACGAAGAACGGCGAGACCCCGACGGTGGAGGCGTGCAGCACCGTGGTGTCGGTGAGCTGGTGCGCCGCGAACAGCTCGGCCAGCAGCGTCACCGACTCGTGCGCGGCCGTGTACAGCTCGCGCGCCGCGCGCTGCGACCCGCCGCCCGCGCCCCCGCCGCCGCCGCTGCGCCGCGCCCCGCCGCTTGCGCCCCCGCCGCGCCGCTTGCGTCCGTCCACTACGAACATAAACAATATGAATATCTTCCCTTTCTAAACTTTATATTATGACAAAAGTAAGATGTTTACCTTTCTTTTTAGAAGTACTTTGGATGCTATACACAGGATCGTAGACACAATAAATTGTGTTGTTCAACTGGAATTTGATGAACATAATAATTCTATCTATAACGTCTTCTAGAAATATCCGCTTCGGCATGTTCGGGGACGTCATCACGTACAGTGACGTCAGACATGCATCCGAAGCACACATGACCCTCTCTAACGCTGACTCTAACCATATTTGCCGCATCTCTTCACTATCCTCCTACAAATACAAACCAGTTATATTATTTTATTCATATACTTAACTTAAATAAAAAAAGGTGTGGTTTGAAACAATATTGGATACTAACCGGGTCGCTCACCAATGACATTTTCTCCGCTGCCCTGATATTTTTCTCTAATATGTTTAGCAATCGAACTAATCTGTCTGAGGGTATAGCTTCCATAGCACCAAGATTCTTTAACTTAGCAGCTTCCGAGCACAGCTCTTGAAGCTGGTAACGTGGTAATAATAATTCTTCAGGTATATCAGTTCCCTCTGCAATTTAAATATTTTATATAATCCAATGGATACTTTCTGCCGAAAATGAACTGGTTTTATCTAATGTCTAATATAGTGGCAGTGAGTATACATAGTTAAATACAAAGGATATAATATTAAAGTCCTTATTATAATGAACTTACCCATTTCGTCAGTAATTAATACGTCGTCGTCAATAGCTTCGAATACTGATTCAATCAATTTGTTGAAACGTTGATAGGTATTTGTCTCCATTAATTCATCTACAGACAGCATTTCTAGCACAGGAACTAATCTGCGCTCTACTTTACGTAACTTTGGGCGCACTGAAATATTAACGTAACGTGCATGAAAAATACTAACATAGAACAATTAAAATTGACGTCATTAAAACGTCCTCTTAGATTTAGAAAACATGTTGAAAAAGTTATGCTCACAAATACATTCATCTCATAGATTAATAAAATTTCTTTCTTAATTTATTTGTGAAAAGTCGTCATCGATACTAATATTATAAAAAGCTGGAGAGTTTGTTTGTTACTAATCTCCAGAACTACTGGTTCGAATTGAATAATAATTTTTGTGTTTGTTAGTACACTTATCGAGGAAGGCTTTAGACCATAGATTCCCAAAGTGGTCCAGGTGGACCCCCAGGGGTCCACGGCAGCCCGACAGGGGTCTACGCTTGCGTGGAAAAAGAATGGGGGTCCACAAAGCGTTAACGGGGTCTATAAAAATGTATGAGGTGACCCGACTTGACTTCTCCTATGAATATAGGGTGACAATAATACAGGCAGACATTATTATAAGAAGTTTCACTTCTGTTATGAATATAGGAAGACAAAATTATAAGAAGCTCAGCAATTGTTTTTGTAAGAACTTGCATATCCCATATTCAGAAAGCGCGTGTCAAGATTCGCTGATTCCGCGCCGCCCGCTCGCCTAGTTAAAGTCGTATCTGAACTTGCATGAACTTGTTGGATTTTTCCCTAATATAAATAGGAATGCGAATGATAAACATCACTCAGTTGTTTCCGGGATTTCAAAAAAGAAAGTGTAATGGATACGAAACATGGCTGAATCTAAGAAGAAGTGTCGACAGTACAGTGTTGAATATTTGAAATTTGCAAGACAAGCGATTGCCCATGTGTCTTTTATGCTACAAAGTCTTGGATCTTGATCTCAGATTACAATGGTTATCTGAAATAAAAGTTAACATCAAAACTACTAATGATTATTATTTTAAAAACAGTCGCAATATTTCAATATCAAAATTTCGATTATATTGCGACTGTTTTTAAAATACTAATGATTATTAGTTTTGATGTTAAATTTTGCTTCTACTAAGACTGTTATAACATAATTAATTACAAGTGTAGTAATTTTTGTGTTTGAATAAATAGCTACAAAACAAGAAAATACTTATTTTTACTTTTTACCACTCCGAAGTGGGTGCTTATTGGTTTCTTGTACTATAAGTCAACCTTAGAATACACAAAAGTAAAGTAGGAATCTGTTGGATGAAGACGCTTTTTAGACTGACCTTGAACTCACAGCATAATCAAAGCAATATAAATTCTAACCTTTTTTCGAAAACTCATAGTTGAAAAAATAGACACAGATTTACATAGACATATACTTTTTTCGGGTTTTGGAAGTAAGTTAGTAAATGTAATAGCTGCAGGGGGTCCACCAGTACCCGCAAAATGATTAAAGTGGTCTATGAGAAAAAAAAAGTTTGGGAACCTCTGCTTTAGACTATAAAACATCACGCTTTGTAGTAGCCGAGCAGCTAGTGAAACCGCGCGACAAAAGCTAGTTACAAATAAAATGAAGTACTACCTATAGCAGCCTCAGCTTCTTCTCTCTTGCTAGCTTCTTCATGTTTCCTTTTGACTGCTTCCCAATTTTTCTCCCTAGCTATATCTATCGCTTCTCTTTCTTTATCGACGGTTGGTGTACCGCTAGTCGACTTCGACTTCAAAGGGACATTGTCATCAGAATCGGATTCAAGGGCACTATTTTTCCTTGATCTTTCTTCAGCAGTAAAATCATGCTTTTTCAACAATCCCTCCTGTAAAATTAATAATTTTTGGATAATTTTGTATTCTAAAATTAAAATTATTTAATTTTTTTATATATATTAATTATAATTCAATACAGTCACACACTTACCGACAGTCGTCCAAGTTTGACGACGGGGTATCTGTTGTTCATAGTACCCGAACTCTTACTCGGGTCTTGTTTGTCTTGGTTACTATTTTGAGCTTGTGGCGGAGCATATGGAGCTCCCATTGAAGGCTGAGGCACTTGCGGTTCTAAACGAAGTGGCGACGGCGCCACACTGGCTTGCGCTGGAGACTGCCCTGTCCTCACATTACCATCTAGAATATAAGTAGCAGGTTAAGAGTGTTGATACGACAAGGGATTACATATCGGCGTTCAAGGTAAAAAGCCATTAAATATAAAATTAACATAATAAAGCATTGAATACCTTGCTCAAATGCCTTCTCTTGTAGTTGCATTAATAATCTCTGTTGATCCGGCTGGTTGCTTGGAGACATAGAAAGTGGATCTTTGTCTTCACCTAAATTAGTACCGTAACTCCTATTATCTTGTACTAAACTATTATAAAAACCACCATTTTGTGGGTTGGAATTAGATGTATTTGACAGTGGACTTGGATACATATTGGAAGAGTTTCCACTGTTCCAAATTGGCGACACACTGTTCTGAGAAGTACTATTTACTTGGTTACCTGGCCTGGCTTGTGAGGGGGGAGAGCCCATGTTAACATGGGGAGAAGACTGGGAAGGTGTAGCCAGCAATTGTTGATTTGGAATGGATGCTGTACCATGTGATGATGGACTTGAGGGTACAGTATTAGGAGATATACCATTAAACTTATGGTGTGAGTGACAATTTGGACCCCAATGTGTTCTTGGTTGCTGCTCAAACACATTAGGATTTACATTTAAAATTGCTCTCAACAACTCTGGTAAAGGTTGCGGTGACGGAGGGTTTGAAGTGTTTGCAGTAGCATCATCTTTTAAATCTCTGAAAATATGAAAATTATATTCATTAAAAGTCTGTCAATTACTTAAACATTATCTAATACAGTATAATAGATATGTACAATCAATTGAAAATATTACATGTGCGATACTGATGTCTGCGTAAGAGATTGAATTAGTAATGATACTAAATTTTCATCACGTGTTGCCAGCAGAATAGCTGCCTCTTCAGCAACACGGGGGTGAAACAACTGTGATTTGTTGTTAAGTGTTGCAGGCAGTGGTGCCGGAAGTGGTAAAACGGGTAACACTGAAACAAAAAAAAAATATTTTTAAACCCATTATTATTGATTGAGTGTGAAAGTTTGTGTTACTATCAGGAAAAGTTTTAAACTAACTAACAAATTAAAAATTTTGATTACTTTAATTACTATTTTTCCTAGCTTATAATTAATAAATTAATGGTGCTTATTTCTCTGACATCTCAAAGTCAGTTTAGAACCATTTCTTGCAAACAGAAATGCAATACAATCCATACATTCCCTTATATATTATCCCTCAATCCCATAAAAACAAAATAGTAAATTATTCAATTACTGTAATTCATATTTAAGCACTTGTATATAAATAAAACCTTTTTGCCTTAGAAAAATCCAAAATGAATCATCTGAAAAATTAACTTTACTCTTACAAATTTAATGAACTACAATTCTATATGAACTGATATAAAACCATTTTATTCTATTTCTTAATTGGTGAATCTACCAACATATATCATAAATAAAATTGTTATCATAATATAACTTATTAGTAATAAAATTATATTGTATAAATAATTTCACTTACACAATAATATTATTCATGTCTATGTCAAGATGAATTAAAAAAAAAACATATTATTAAAGATCACTGTAGGAAAAGCAAGTTTTTTTTTTTTTTTTTTTTTTTCATATTGCACAATGTACATATAATGTCAAGTATAACATACATCCAGTACAGTACATTACCCTGTTAGGGTGCAGCAATTTAACTTATAACTAGATAATAATACATGTTATATTTTTTATTACATTAGTTATCACTTCAATATCACAAACACTTTTATGCATTGTATTCCAAGTTAAGACAATAATTCCTTCATCTAGTTTTTCACATATTAATTCGTTTGTAAAAGTGCAGTTTTATGGTCTATTTGCAAGAATAAATTCACTGTTTCATTGTTTCCTACTTTATCCTGAGTGTGTAGTTCCAAGTCTTTATTAACTTCAAGTAATAGAATGTCAGTATAATGTGAAAAGAAGGCAATTAGCCTCTATTCTCCAAATCACTTTATGGTGATATCTTATTTTTGGTTATTTTAGCGTCAAATTTAAAAATGGATACAATAACATAATTTATTTTCAGATTAATCTTATGTTGTTTTCATTATTCGAAGAAGAATGGAATGAATGTTAAGAAAAGCTGTAATTAATGTTGAAAAAATCACAAATAAATCACAACTTGATAATTCTGTTAACTACAGATTTTTACATATAGTTTAGTACATATTTCTTTTTTTAACCTATTTCAATAATCATTAGTTTGAACATTACCAAAAAAATTGTATATTTATGTATTATAGGCCAATAATTAAATCAACACATTAATATCATCAAACATCATATGTTCAAATTCTCATCTATATGCATTTTGTTCCTATTGGAAAAATTATGTATTTGAGTTTTAAATATTTGTAAACTAAGTACTTTATAGATATTTTTTTTAATTTATCCAATCTCAAATCAAACCTAATCAGATGATACCCACCTAGAATGTTATGTAAATAATACATTTTATGTTATTGTGACTGGTTAGCAGTTCCAAAAAAGACAAATAGTTGTATGAAAAAACAGTAATGTGGTATTTCACATAATTATTGTAAGTTGCAAAGAATAATGAAGTGTTTTAAGTAGATGTTGGATGTCAAATGAACTCATACCTGATGTGGTTCACATACTTACAGTCTGTCAAGCTGGCTACTCCTGCTAATGTCGTAATAGGGACACTTGGGATATCCCTTTCATTCATCTTGATTAAACAGTTTTATTTTCTCAGGTTCACTATTATTTTCCTAGAAGTTAAAAAGAAAGCTTTTGCTGTGGTACTATAAAACACACCATACACTGTTTGCGTAGTAGTTTCCATTATCATTTTACTTTCCACTCACGTAACACTCTTGCACAAAAATATTTAACATTAGCAATTAAACATTTATCAAACAGGGCGAATCACTAATATTTGAAGTTACATTGAATCCAAAGATTGTTGTGAAAATGGGGCAGCCGTCAATTTGATGCTTTGTTGTGCGTTGTGCATCAAAACGAAGGTCAGCGCATCTGTACGACACTCCCATGAGAAACTAAGAAACTTAGTTTTATTGACACTAAATCATATGTTGATTGAATATGTAGCAAATACTCACTGAAACATTATGTTAACTATGTCTAATTTATTTATCCAGGACAAATCAAACATAATCCCAACATTTAGATAATCAAGAAATTACGAATTGGTGTTGCCAATCATAAAAAAAATCACCACATGACGCTAAAATATTTTCGACAACCATAGATAATTTGATACACCCCTAGTGACTGCAAGACGGGAATGAGGCGTATTGTTCAATAGAAATTTCGGTTTTGCCCTAAATTTCAAAATTAATATTACTTTTTCTAAGCAGTCAACATAGTGACTGGTAACTGGACAGGGCAACCAGCTATTGTGCAATGCAACGTCTCATGGGTTTGAGTTCGATGTCAGTAGCAGTAGCAGGAAGCAGTACCTTCTTCTTCTTCTTCGTCCTCTAGATGGTTCACACAGTGAAGCCACCAAGCATCTGCTATCTATCACTGCTCAAAGAGCAGAGAGTTTGCTTCGAGATTGGGTCAAACTGAAGACACGTGTAAACGCTTTCTCCCACTCGCCACCTCCCTGATGATTATGCAATACCTATGAATATTTTTATGGAGATAATCCTCTGTAACGCGATTAACGCACGAGCTGGCCGCCGCCACAAATATGGGGACCCGCATAGGGCCATAGAACGCACGATCCCCAAATACAACATCAGACAGGAAGCGTTTGGGCCTTCCTTTGAGCGTTTGAAGTCTAGGTACTTGCTCACTCGTACCATAACTGATAAAGTAATTGGCAAAAAAACAGAATTGTCATGGTAGGATTCTTGTGGCTTTTGTCCACATTGAAATATGCAAGACGAGTTTTTATAATTATATTTGCTGCGCCTCTGAAACTAAATTTTTTTCTAAAATAATAAGTACTTTAAAATCACAAGTAAATAGTTTCCTTGTTAATTTAATTTACTGGCAAATATGAAGTAACATTTAGATTTTTGTTAATCAACCATTAATTTTTAGTTCTGTTAAGTGACAAGTGACGTATAGAGGTCATTGACTTTTTATTCATTTGAATCCACTAATTTTAATCTTCTGGTCAACTAGGTTCAAATTTCGTTAGACAATTTATTATTAATAATGCGCAACATGAAATCTTTATTAATAGCAAAGGATCCGACCTGATTTATGGCAATAGGTTCACCGCTTTTTCTTAGAAAACCTATGTAAACCTGAAAACCTGATAAATATTGATTCTATTTGTTTACCTGTCATTAGAAATCTTCTTCCCTCCTACAGGAAGCAATTAATTAAAAAATGCTTTATAATCTTAAACATCGGAATCGAACCCGATCCCAACTGGACAACTTAATTTACCTAGTCAATTTTCGAATGGAAAATCTTAGACTTATCTTACCCTTCAAAAAATTGTGTATTAAAGTAAAAAAAAACAAATTAAATATGGATGTAAGACGGGTCATTAAATTTTATTTTGTTTTGAGTTCTATTTATTTACAGTTTATTTCATTATAATGTTGTTCAGTAAATGGTTCAGATTTTTGTCACTTGGTGGCAGTGCAGTATTAAAATCGTGCGAAATGAGTACTCGTATGATGCATGGGTTATTTAATGTTCTAGTAAATAGTCTATTATTGTACAACCGATATTGTATCAGTACTTATGTCATCTAAGTCCATAAGTCTAAAGTTCATTTTTAGGCTTATCTGTTGCCGTCATCTGTCATGAAAAATTGAACTTGTAAGGTTAAAGCCAAGGTTGAAGTAGATTTAAGTTTAAAAGATTGTTTTTGTTTTAATATTTAAATAAATATTTAAAACTTGAAGAAAGGTGTTTGTCTGTTTGGGTTTTAATTAAATGAATCAATCAACCATTCAGTTGTGAGTTAATTTAACAGCTCTTTTTAAATATTTTAGCTCCAATTCATTGGTTGCCTGGTGTTATAAACTGGAATAACTGGATTTGAAGCTCAACGTTCATCACTAATAACATTCACCAAAATGGATCATTTGTATTGCGATGCAGTTGCAGTTCACTCACTTACTTGGTACCTCAAATACGTCGGTATACCATTGACCATTGGTGTAACAATGTGTAAATTATTCAGTTGTATCACCACAAACAGACGTCGAGCTGCTTTGCAAGGAAAGGTATGGCTATTAATGAATTTTGTATTACTTTAAAACTCATGGAAAGTACAATATGGTGCAGCAACTTAATTGTTTACCACTCAAATCCTATCCTACTAGTATTGTAAAGTGAAAGTTTGTGAGAATTAAAACAGCTGGATTGATTTGGTTGATATTTGATATGTAGACGGGTGATGTATTGGATTAACACATAGGCTGTTTTTTGTCAACTTTCTACGTGGGTGAAAACTTTACAATTAGGTAATATTATTTAGTTGACTTAGATAATTATACGACTGCCCAAAAAGGAGTGTTATTATTATTTTAATAATTACCTAATTGGTAATAAAATATTTTCCAGGTGGTGGTCATAACTGGGGCAAGTTCTGGTATAGGAGAAGCCTTAGCTCATGCATTTTATGAACAAGGAAGCAAAGTAGTATTAGCTGCCAGAAGAAAAACAGAACTGGAGAGAGTAAAGAGAGAATTAATGTCTAAGAATCTGGTATGTATTTATCTGCTTTCTTGCTTACATTTCTCTTCGAACAACTATCAAGATAAATTGCATGGTTTTCCCACTTTATCTATACTATGGACAATGTCACTGTGTAGTGGGAAAGACCAGGCTTCTACTATATTGTTATTGAATACAATTGCATAATTTTTTTATGGTGGCAAATCTAAAATTTTTATCATTTTCTATTTCAGTCTACTCCAACATTGGAACCAGTTGTATTGGAGCTAGATCTTACAAAACTGGGAGAAATGAGTTCATTTGTTAAAAATGTCTATGATGCCTGTGGAGAAATAGATATATTAATTAACAATGGAGGCATTTCACACCGAGGATCAATATTGAATTCCAAGATTGATGTTTTTAAGAGTATTATGGATGTTAACTATTTTGGCTCTGTTGCTCTAACAAAAGGTGACTTTCCAATTTTTATATTTGCTTAGTTCTGTAAAAAAAACTTGTGCAATCAACAGGGCATTGCATTGATTAAGGTTCCATGAAAATGTATGACCTACTTACTTATTTCAAATCCAAGTGTGAACCCACTGCATGCAAATCAACATCAATAAGTTATTTATACTGAATGTAAGCTAAAACATATTTATAATACCATTGTTTTTATTTTCTAGAATGTCTCCCAAAAATGGTGCAACGTAAAGCTGGTCACATAGTATTTGTGAGTTCAGTCCAAGGACTCATTGCCATTCCTGAGCGCTCAGCATATGCAGCTGCAAAACATGCTATTCAAGCCTTTGGAGATTCTCTTAGAGCAGAAATGCATCAGCATAACATCAATGTTACAGTTGTTAGCCCTGGTTACATTAAAACTGCTATATCTATAAATGCTTACACTGGCTCTGGAGAACCACATGGAGGTAAAGTTTTTAATAATTGCAAAATGATATCTGTTTACTTACATCTGCAGATGGTATTGTTGTTCTCCTTCTGTATTCTATTATTATACTAGAGCATAAATATGATTTAAATCTGTTTCAGTCATGGATAAAAGCACAGCTGCTGGTTTCTCCCCAGAATATACTGCAAACAGAATTCTTAATGGAATTGTGAACAAAGAAAAAGATCTGGTTATTAGCCAGTTTTTGCCAAGTTTAGCTGTGACTTTAAGACATTGTACACCATCTTTATATCACTGGATTATGGCAAGGAGGGCTGTCAACACATCATCTTAATGGTTTTAACCTTAATTCAAGTATATAACAAAGATATATTTATTCAATTCGATTTAAGTAATGTAAAATTTGTATAGTTCTTCATTATTATTTGATGTATCATTAATTTAAAATGTATCAAGATAAAAGTTTGTACTTATAATACCGAAATTCTGTTTTGTTTGAAGAATTAAAGGTATTTTAATGCAAAAAGTTTAATGGGCACTTATTTCATTAATGGGAATGGGGTAACTATTTTTTAAAGGTAGTCTTTAAACTTTGAGTAAGATACTCTTTCTGGTTTGTTAAACCAATTTAAATTACCATTTCCCCTACATGCTCATTTATTTAGATACCTAATGAGTAATGTTGGCTTTAGTAAAAAGAAGTATTTATTTGTAAAATATATACTGTCGCATTTAATACTCAAATTGTTATTTAACTTACTTTAATTAGGTTTGTTTTAAACAAAAGACTAAAGTATGTTAAAATTGTTTTATATTTTTTATACACTGGAATTTATTTTATTGTTTTTTATTTATCAATCACAGATGTTATTTTACATAAAAGCAGGTTTGTTTTTAGTGATCAAGTAACATACACATAATGGTATTATATAATTACACATATTGGTTATTTTGTCTTCTTGTGCCACTTCTCCCAGTAATTTTCGCTTTGTACAATTTGAGTGATAAAACTTAGATGAAATAAAATTTAGATGTGGTTAGGGAGCATAGCTCCTGACCCAACCAATACCAGATCTAAAAATAACATGTTTTTTATGACTTTCAAGATTTGTGAAAAAGGGTTCTGCACTGGGCTGGAAGTGTTTATTCAATGGTTGTATAAGAAATCATGTACAATTTATAAAAGGTGTAAATAAAATTGCCATGTAAATTGCATTATTGTTTTATTTCACGATAATAGTGAGGATATTATTAATTGGAGATCACCATTACCTTGTTATAACAGAATCTTTCATAACCACTATCACATTTGATTAACTAAAAAGCATCCTTAAATTACAAGAAAATATCTTTTGTACAGGCTTTAAACTAATTCTACTATTAATAACTTTATAACATTTTTACATTGCGTCCTACAACAAATTATATAATTACATCATTATACTTCAGACATAAACAACTTATTAGAAAGCACTAATATATTTTATGCTTTTCATTAGAGCATTTAGTGGCTAAGTTTTAAGCTCAACACCATTATTATGCTATTTGCAAGACTATATTTTTATTTAAAAATATTGTATAGTCTCCATAAGCATATAGCTGTCGCAGTCATAGACACTGTTGTATGTAAAATAATTTTCCTTCTATTGTCTGTGTGCACCAGAACAACTGGTGATGCAGATGTAAGATCACTTAACATAGGTAATGTTGATAAATGCCGGCGGTTCTTTTCTTCTTGATATTTGCAACACGGGTCCCACTGCCATGACAGTGTGTAACATCCAGCACACAGTACTGATACAATGCCAAAAGGTGCACAAGCTAATGAACTCCATGCAAGACCTGAAGTCAATGATAAAAAAACATTAATAATCTATACAAATTTACGGAAAACTAGATTTCCATAGTTACTATCGTTAAAATAAACAATTAATTAAAACAGGTAAAAAGACAGAGTTTACTCATTGTATATGGTGATTATTAAATAAACAAAACATTTTTATTTAAAGTTTACCACAACAACTTTATAACCAATATTATATCTTTCTCTAATCATTAAACATACACACCTGATGCAATGCTACAGAGTCCACTGTAAACAGAAACCTTATGCAAGAGGTTTCCTACATAAATCCAACGTGCTGTTTCCTCACCAAGTGGCTCTGGTTCTATCACAATAACGCTAACGCCAGCCTCCAGTGCTCTTTCCAGTTCCATCTCAAACTTGATGTGAGCATTTTCACTATCATAAACTTCTCTGATGATCGCGACACTGGATGGCTTTAGATCACTATAAACAAAGCACGGTTATGTAATTGAGAAAAATATTATAAACTACTAATGAATTTCAAAAGTAATGTTTGAAAATTGATTTAATGTACAGTATTTAAAGAAATAAATAAACTAAGTTTTTGTAATTTCATTTACTATTTACAAACCTGTCACTTTCATCACCCGCCATCTTATAAATATAGACAATTACTATTTTTTATAGAGTAGAGTTATGACAAGTTGATATTATGGTAAAAAGAAATACAAGCATTGTAATTTGTATAGATTTTGAAAAGCAGCAAGGAAGAAAATAAAGATTTTATTGGCTTATAATGTGACTCTTTATAATACATGTTTTAATGTTGGTGTTGTCCTACGTTTTGAAATTCTTGAATTTGTCATGTTGATACATAATTGTGGATTTATAAACGTAATAATCTGTTGGATTTTTAGAAATGTAACAATAATTCGAATTATACAACGTCTTTATTATGACAACACTAATTAAAAGTGCATTTTTTTCTTGTGTAAGCACTGTCAATAACTTTTATGGTTTCCCCGCGTTTTAAAGTTACGTTAGAGAGACTAATACTTTTACGTAGAGTCTAGTAGAGATGATAAAAAATATAAAAGCGATAGAGACGGTGACTTCAGGGATTAATTCTTGAATTTTTCAGACTGATTACCTTATGGTAAGTAATCAGCGCCGTTCATGGAAACCCACAACACCAGAGGTGATACAAATGTGTTGCCAGCCTCTTGGGAGTAAGCAGTTTTGGGAGATTTAGGGATTGGGGAGGGAAGAAAGGAGGGGAACGATTTGACTTCGTTGACAGGACGACACACAATACTGTGGTTCTTTCACGTCGGTTTTCGTGAGGCTGTTGTACCTATCACTCCGGTATATTGAACCGGGCTTCAATTGATTGTAAGATTTGGGTGATCAATAGGTAATCAACAAATAAATGATCAGCGATTATTGGTAACACACATTTTATGGAAATGTTTAACCCACGTTACTGGTTACTGATTAAACTAAATTAGCCACGTACTGACTCTACGTCATTCACTAATTGTTGTGCCTGGTCTGGGTGTGATGTCTGTTAAAGCACATACGACACCAGAGAACATTCTACAGTGGGGCGATGTTAAAAGGAACGTTAACCAGAGTTAAGGCTGATTTTTCAACAATCAGATAAATGTTAACTGAGGAATAAAATTGTTGCTGTCACTGACGAACATTCTGACGCGACAGCATCATAATTATTCCCCAGATAACTTTTCTATCTATCTAACCATTGAAAAATCAGCTTTTAGATAACTATAAAAATAATTAAAAAGTGTATGCGCAAAATTTACTTAACGTAATATAAAAGGATTTGCGAATTTTTGGTTGAAAAAAATTTTTTTTTCATTTTCTTAATACCTACCTACTTCTAGCAGTTTGTCTGTGTATTATGGGCACGTCTGCTTACTGTTTCAGCGATAAAAATAATTTAAACTATTTGGGAATTTCTCCGAAACGACTTTGTTTTACTTTTGGAAATACCTAATTCATTTTAAATTCTGAACTCTTCACTAATTATTGTAGGTACTGATTCGTCACTGCGTGGATATCGTGCAGCATATGGTGGCGGTGTGCCCTACCTGGGTTGAATAAAGCCTCAGGGAAGGGATCGGCGGCGGTGGCCTCTACCTGTTAGTAGAGCCAGCCTAGCTCAAAGAGCCAACCGACCACCACAGATGGGGTCCAATAAGTCAGATGTTCAGATAGTATTAGGTAGTAAGGATAAAGTTAAAAATATACGATGGTTATATCCCCTTAGTCAGCACTTATAGGGGGGGCTTACAGGCGAATAATTCATGCATTCTCTGCTATTACCACACGGCTTAAATAACGAGTTTAAAAATGTTAAAATTTGATTGTGTGTTTAAAGCAAAGTATTTCCCTCCACTCACGATTGTCGCCCACTACAGCCGTTCTAAAATCCGCTTGCCTGTTTAGGAAAAGGTGAATGTTGCAAACTGTATGCCCACAAGTAATATAAAAGTAACTTTAAAATAAATCTTTATAATTTGAAACTTTATTACAAGAGAATAAGGTTGAATTTCAGATAAGGTTTATTTGCGACATTGTACGTTTTGTATGTGTGACATTATCTTGTTTAGTGTAGAGATACTTACTTAAAAGGAGTGTGTGGGTGCAAGGCTGACCTTATAGGTGCTACCCACAGTCTTCGCTAAACATTTAGAATGATTTCCCTGACATCCCACACTCGATTGCTGTTATCGCCATAAATGATGTAAAGAACTTTAACCTGATATTAAATCTATATAATTCGTCAATATTGTATAAAATACTTCTCAATTATCTCAGTAGGTACGTAATTAATTAAATGTAGTCGGCTCAAGCCCAAAAATATTATTTTAGGTATATATACTATATTAGATTCAAAAAATATAAGGTACGATAGAAATGAGTTTTGTTGCTAGCTCTTAATCAATTTCAGTCGTAAATCTATTATAATATAATATATGAGTACAGCTATGAGTACGTTGCGATTTGTAATTAAACAAAGTTATTGATCATAACATTATTTTAATAACTAATTACATGTATACAATAATATAGGTACTAAATACATCCTAAGCACCTACCTAATTTTAAATTTTCGCGTGCGTGTATGTAAAATAAGTTTATAGTAATAAGTAATAGACACAATACATGCATCTACCTAGTTAGGTAAGGTAAGTAGCAAATAGATAGAATAGTAGATATGAGCACTACGTTTAGTAAGTAGAAGACTTCTATGATGTAACTTAATTCCAAAACCTTAATTGTATTTTCTGAAAAATAAAAAAGATTTCAGTACAATTAAATATTTAAAAATAACTTTATTGTACTTCATTGATGGATTTGACGATATACTGAATTTTATATGTTTACTGGTTACATTTAAAGAAAAAAGTGTGCTGTATGACCCAAAAATATGATGACGTCACATTTTAATTTTCAAGTGTTGAATTTGACAAATAGTCAAATACCGTTTTAATATTAAGTATAATAGTTTCTAGTTCACATTTTGCAACGTTTTAACATTAAATAGGTACTACCAAATATTGAACATATTAGAAAGTAGAACTATCGCGTTTGGAGATCTCTACAAATAGTATCTGTTCCCAATAAAACACCTGAAATACCAAATGATACAATTTGTTTCACTTGAACTAACAGTTTGAAAGAGTGGTAAATGAAATACATACTAAATAATTACCTAACAGAGCAATGCTTTATATTGTTCTACTATTTATAGGTACATATGTGTGTATAAACTCCATAGAACTACGTATGCACTATTTATAAAAGTTCTAACATTTCCTTGTTCGGGTTTTAGGAACAACTATAGTAATGAAGTAATATGTAAATCTTCCAGGAATGCATTTTGAATACCTGTTTTATACAATTAAGTACTTTTTCATCAGTAAGTTTTTTTAATTACTGTTGTGTGCTTGGAAAATATAAAATTTGTTATCATCTAGGTCAAGAAGGCAAAACTAAAAATAAGCAAATTAAGAAATATGTAAGTATTACACAATAATGTGTAAAATTAGGTGAAGTTTATTTCCAAAAGTATTATTTAAGTTTAAAGTTACAGAAGTACTTACCTCTTTAATTAGGATTGCTAATATTGGTTACAGTTATATCTGCATAGTACCTAAGTAACTTTTTAACTACGTACATAATATACACACACTACGCATTCTGTGGGATATAATATTATTGAGCACTCAAACCTAAGCTAAGTGCATTTTAAAGTTTACTGTGTAGTTGTATTTTAAAGTATAAAATTAATGTCAGTGTTATTTCGCCTACACGGTACTTATAACGTTCCTAATATTGACTGCGTCCTTAAATGTGGGCGCTCAAATCTACCGTTTTACGACCAAAACTGCAACTGAGATCGATAAATATTATTTTAAATCAGTTAATTTCTTAAAGGTTAGATAACAAAATACCTAGTTCAATATGTATTACTTTTACTAGTGAACGGTTCCAAGACGGTGGTTTACCACGTTCAAGTATGGTATGGCCCCCATTGTGGATGGTCCGTGATCGAACGGGCGCGGGTAATGAACCCGAGCATCCGCGGGATTCACGAGCAAGCAGCGCGTCGGCCGCGCGCTTCCGCCGCGAACCGCGCCCGCGCCTGCGCCGGCTTACCTCGTGCTCACGAATTCATAGTTCCTTCGGGCAACACTACATTGTCTATTTCTACAAGCTCTTTTTGTAATGATGAATAAAACTTGTGATGGAAGGTGGCCAAATCCATCCTCTGAGATGAAACAAAGGCCCAACCTCATGCAGTTGAAGTGTAATTTGTTTGTCTATATTTATGTTAAACGATCTTAAATAAAATTATAAGCAACTAAACAATTCTTAACTTATATAAAACAATGTTATTATTTTATTAGGTTAAGAGAAGAAATTATTAGGCAACCTCATTTAAAAGTAGGTACGTGGGAAGCTAAACAATCTTCTAAAGCGCGTTTGCTTCGCAGAAAATTTCAATAAATGCCAATGTTATATATCTACCTCTATAACTAATTCTGCTAAAGGTGGTCACAAGTAAGGCCAATAGCCCAGCAGTAATGTACAAATAATGTTGTGTTGCGGAGGTGAATGTCATTGCAATAAGTAACACAGCGGGCGAAGTGTCTCTGGGAGCCCCTCGGCTTACATTTACCTAACCCTAGTAGGTATCTCATATCTTGATGACCTTATTATTATCATATTTAGCTATTCATTCTACAAAACTTCTAAAAAAAAATCTTTAAATGTACAATATTTATGTAAGAGTTCGAGAGGAGAAAATTTGATTTTTCAATACTTATTTATCTCATCGTTTTCGCATCCAACTCTACACCTGTGACTCATAGCGGCGCAGTGCTGAGGCGGCTGTTATCCCTTCTGAATAATAATTACTTTTTTGTATTCAACAGTCAAATAAAAGGATTTCGTTTTTGCAAATTGATATAGCAGTAGGGTATTGCCGTTTACTTTGGCTGCGCGGCACGTGCTTCAATTTTTTTCTTTACAATTTACTGCATGGGTCGTCCGTCATTCATATCTTTGAATTGTACAGTGAATTAGGTACCTACAAAAAGACAGACAAAAGTTTTTTTAATTTG